TGGAGTGGATCAGGTAATGCCACACAGACACGCCCCTCACACACGTGCATTCATACAACAACATAAACACGAGACTAGAAGGAAACAGAGGAACTGTCCACCGTGACAGTACCCCTCTCCCTAAGAACGCCTCCTGGCGTTCTCAGACTCCCTTACCTGTCGATTGTAATCATCGATAAGAGAGTGATCCAGAATGTCTCTAGCAGGAACCCAACTTCTCTCCTCCGGACCGTAACCTTCCCAGTCCACCAAGTACTGGAATCCGCGTCCCCTCCGTCTAGAATCCAGAATGCGATTGACCGAATAGGATGGTTCCCCATCTACGAGTCGCGGCGGTGGAGGAACCGGGACTGGCGGATTAATGCGAGCATAAAACACGGGCTTGACTTTGGATACATGGAACACGGGATGAATTCTCTTGTACGCAAGAGGAAGTTGAAGGCGGACTGCCACCGGACTAACGATCTTGGTGACAGCAAATGGGCCAATAAATTTGGGAGCAAGTTTATTCGAGACGGATCGGAGAGGAATGTTCTTGGTAGAAAGCCACACTTTGGAACCGACGACGTATACGGGAGGCTTCCGCCGGTGGCGATCGGCTTTGGCCTTGGTGCGCGCTCCCACTTGGAGTAGAGTCTCACGGGCTCTAGTCCAAGTGCGATGACACCTCTGGATGAAGGCGTGGGCGGAGGGGACCGCGACTTCGGATTCCAGACTGGGAAAGATTGGTGGCTGGTAACCTACACTACACTCAAACGGAGATAGGCCCGTAGATGACACTGGTAACGTATTGTGGGCGTACTCCACCATTGACAGTTGCTGACTCCAAGAGGAAGGGTTCTTGGAAACCATACACCGCAACGTTCTTTCCACATCTTGGTTGGCTCTCTCAGTTTGACCATTGCTCTGGGGGTGAAACCCAGAGGACAGACTAACAGTCGCCCCCAGTAATTTACAAAATTCTCGCCAAAATTTGGACACAAATTGGGGACCCCTGTCGGAAACCACGTCCATCGGGAGGCCATGTAACCGAAAGACGTGATCTACGATCGTAACCGCTGTTTCCTTAGCTGAAGGTAATTTGGGTAAGGGGATGAAATGTGCTGCCTTCGAGAATCGGTCCACCACAGTTAAAATCACTGTGTTACCCTGAGAGGGTGGGAGGGCGGTAATGAAATCTAGAGCGATATGGGACCAGGGTCTCGAAGGCACCGGCAGCGGTTGAAGTAACCCATCTGGAGGTTGATTGGAAGACTTACCAATAGCACAAACTGAACAAGCCAAAACAAAATCGTGAATGTCGCGAGCCATACGTGGCCACCAAAACCGTTGCTTGACTGAAAAACCAGTGCGAGTAACTCCTGGATGACAGGCTACGTTGGAACTGTGACCCCACTGGATAACGTCAGACCGTAATCCCTCCGGCACAAACAGACGATTCGGTGGGCAACCGGGCGGAGGCGTTACCCCTTCTAAGGCTCTCTTGACCTTCGCTTCGATCTCCCATGTGAGTGTTGAAACGAATATGGTTTCGGGTAAAATACACTCGGGAGTAGACGGGCGATCGGAAAAATCAAATATGCGAGATAAAGCGTCCGGTTTGATGTTCTTGGAACCCGGACGGTAGGAGAGAGTGAAATCAAAACGACCGAAAAAAAGTGCCCACCGAGCCTGCCTGGAGTTCAATCTTTTGGCAGTTCTAATGTATTCAAGGTTCTTGTGATCGGTCCAGACGATAAAAGGTACCCCCGACCCTTCTAACCAGTGGCGCCACTCTTCCAACGCCAACTTGACTGCCAACAACTCTCTGTTACCAATGTCATAATTGCGTTCGGCTGGAGATAAACGATGTGAAAAAAACGCGCAAGGATGCATCTTGTCGTCCACAGGTGAACGCTGGGATAACACCGCTCCTACTCCCACCTCTGATGCGTCGACCTCCACCACGAACTGACGTGATGAATCAGGGGTTATTAAGATTGGAGCTGAAACAAAGCGGCTTTTCAGTTTAGCGAACACAGCCTCGGCTGAGTCGGACCACCTGAACGCAGTTCGGGGGGAGGTCAAGGCAGTCAGAGGCGCGACTAGCTGGCTGAAATTGCGAATGAAACGCCGGTAAAAATTGGCGAACCCCAGAAACCTCAACAGGGCCTTGCGTGAATCTGGGCTTGGCCAATCCACCACAGCCTTGATCTTCTCAGGGTCCATCCGCATCCCCTCGGACGACACGATGTATCCTAGAAAGGGAACAGACTGTGCATGAAAATCGCATTTCTCCGCCTTGACAAAAAGCCCATTCTCTAGCAGCCTCTGAAGCACTCGACGGACGTGCTGCACATGTTCCTGGAGAGACGAAGAAAAAATCAATATGTCGTCCAGGTAGACATAAATGAATTGGTCGATCATGTCTCGCAGCACGTCATTGACCAATGCCTGGAAAACTGCTGGGGAGTTGGACAATCCGAACGGCATGACCAAATATTCAAAGTGCCCCCTAGGGGTGTTAAAAGCAGTTTTCCATTCATCACCCTCCCTGATGCGAACCAAATGATATGCATTACGTAAGTCCAATTTCGTGAAAATGGATGCTCCCTGCAACCTCTCGAAGGCTGAAGACATCAACGGCAAAGGATAAGTATTCTTTACCGTGATGTTATTCAACCCTCGGTAATCAATGCAAGGTCGCAGCGATCCATCCTTCTTCCCCACAAAAAAGAACCCCGCCCCCGCTGGAGAAGAGGAAGGGCGAATGAACTTGGCTGCTAGAGAATCAGAAATATATTTCTCCATAGCCTCTCTTTCAGGAATCGAAAGTGAAAATAACTTGCCTTTAGGCGGAGACTTACCTGGCAGTAAATCTATCGCACAGTCATAGGGACGATGCGGAGGGAGAGAAGCAGCACGAGACTTACTGAACACTTCCTTCAGGTCCAGATACTCCGCGGGCACGTTAGACAAATCCCCCGCCTCCTCCTGTAACACAGAAACAGGTACAGACGAACAAGCAGACACAAGACAAGACTTATGACATTCCTTATTCCACTCCAGCACAGCTTTATGAATCCAGTCCACACGGGGGTTGTGTTTGATGAGCCAAGGATGTCCAAGAACAACGGGTGCCAGGGGTGAGTCCAAAATCAGAAAAGAAATAGTCTCGGTGTGGTTGCCAGAGGTGATGAGAGTGATATCTTCGGTTCTGTGTGAGATGGTGGGGAGTTCTTGGCCATTTAATGCGTGCACAGAAATCCGGTGATCGAGGGAACGGAGGGGAATTTGAAAAGTGCGTGCAAAATTAAAATCCATAAAATTACCTTCCGCCCCGGAGTCCAGTAGTGCAAGACAGTCGTGTTGATTAGTTGACCATCTCAGTCTTACCGAGAGGAGAGTGGAAGTAGATGTTGCTGATGAGGTCTTCCTGGCGGAGATCCCACCCGACAGTAGCCTCACGTTTACTGTCGGGCTTGGCCTTTTACCGGGCAGCTGTAAGCATAATGACCAGTCCCTCCGCAATACAGGCAAAGGCCCTGGGACCTCCGCCTCTCCCTCTCCTCCCGGGAAAGCCGAGCTCGACCCACCTGCATAGGCTCGTGATCGTTGACGGGGCTGACCACGTCCCTGCCGCTGGATCGCTGGACGTCCATCTCTCCGAACGTACGGGTGGAAGTTGTTCTGCGCTCGACTCTGGACAGTCGAGCGTCCACCCGTAAGGCGAGGTCAATCAGGCCGTTGAGAGTCGTGGGGAGATCCAGGGCGTAGATCTCCTTCTGGACGTGGTCAGCCAGCCCATGCAGGAACATGTCCCACTGCGCCTCCTCGTTCCAGCCACACTCCGCCGCCAGGGTCCTGAACTCGATGGAGAACTCCGATACTGAACGTCTTCCTTGGCGAAGTTCCGCCAACGTTCTGGCCGCCTCTCTTCCTGATACTGACCTGTCGAACACTTTCTTCATCTCGTTCGACAGGTCCTGGAACGAGGCACAGCATGGGTTCTGGTTCTCCCACACCGCCGTTCCCCAGAGTGCCGCTCTCCCAGTCAATAAAGTCAGTACAAATGCAACCTTGGTCTGTTCGTTGGAAAAAGTGCGTGGCTGCAAGGCAAAATGCATAGAACACCGGTTTAGAAATGCTCTGCAAAATGAAGGCTCACCCGAATATGCTTCTGGTACCGGCAAACGGGGTTCCGACTGGGAGGGGCTTCCCGATGGTGCGAGAGGAACGGCAGGTGTGGGGGGCGCAGCGGGGACACGTAGGCGCTGGATCTGCTGGGTGAGCTCGGACACCTGCGTCACCAAAGCTTGAACTGCGCGACCCGTGTCGCCGATCTCCTTCTCCTGAGAGTTCATTCTCTGAATGCTGTGATGTACGAACTCCTCGATGGATGTGGCTGCCGCACTCGCTGCTCCCATTTGACGGTCAGATCGTTCTGTCATGGTGCAATAATCACAGGGAGCAGATGCGAGTGAACAGGGATTTATTGAAACTCAGTCCAATGCAGTAAGCCAGAAACAAGGTGACGCAGGGACTTCGACGGTCAACCAGATGATGTGAAGACAGACGGTGAAATCCACAGGACACGGGAACAATACTCAATACACGATCGACACTTCACGGAGGACGAGACGATCAGGAACACAGGGACCAGGAACAGAGACACACCAACACCAAACAACGATCTGACAAAGATGAGAGAACAGTGGTGAGTATATATGCACGGTGGTGATCGACTGCAGCTGGTGATGATTGATGATGAGCAGCTGGAGTGGATCAGGTAATGCCACACAGACACGCCCCTCACACACGTGCATTCATACAACAACATAAACACGAGACTAGAAGGAAACAGAGGAACTGTCCACCGTGACAACGTTTCTTTATTATAACCATGGAGTATAAAATTCAATATCAATTCTCGGTATTGCATTGGACTCTACGATCGGCGGAAGTTATCGAGCATCCTTAATCCTTCACCGGAAATACCGCCGTGCATAGAGCCCATTCGTCAGGCTCCGAATATTCTTCAAAAAGAAAACAAAGAATGGCCTTCTCAGCCACCATAGTTGCAACTCTTACGTCATCATCAGAACAGGGCGTTCAACAAACCACCGTTTCAATTTAAAAAACTTTTTGTTGGGGCTGAACACAGGCCAGGAAACATGAATGAGAATTTCAAAATAAAAGACATGAATCAATAACCAAACGTGACACTATTCACTGTAAACTGACCGTATCGGATTAGATCCAAATTTGAACTAAATTGAGCTGTATGATGGCACTATTGTCTTTTGTAGAGCTGCTTTATAGCTGAGTCAGATGTTTCATAATTGGCAAACTTCACACAGTGAACTGACTTGAGCTGAATAACAAATTGTATACGTATGCTTATTGCTGAATTTGAATTTGTCTAATTTTTGATGGTTTGCATCACTGATTCTTTTATTTTCCTGTTTATTGCTGATAAGCTGACTTTTGATCGATCAGAGTCGATTAAATAAATGTAAAATGGACTAAAATGAATGCATGAAAAAATAATGAAAAACAACTACAAATAAGTATGCAATGTACAGCAATGTTTTCAGGAAGCACACTAATTATGAGCTATCCATCACTGTTTAATATAGTGATGCCATGTAAATTAGGCCTGTAATCCAGCGTTCCCAGTGTTTTTTGTGTGCTGTAGGAGCAAACAGTGCACCTGTAGAAACTGATAGGACTGTAATTGGAGATGATGTGCCACAGGCAACAGATGCACTGGAGCCATCGCAGTGGAATAGCGCTTGCACAGTCAAACTAGGTGCTTTAGCAACTTTTTTACAATCATTTTGACAGTCCAGTCTGTTGTAGACAAATCGCTTTTTAATGAGAACTTTTCAATGAGGAGTGTGATCAGACCAATATTTCTGCATGAAGCAGAGATCATAACCATCTGAAGATGACACCAGCAGCATTTTTTCTACATGTAATTTTTCTTGGGATTGGACTCCAATGTGTCCAGATGAGATTATACACAAACCGTTGGGCGGTTAAAATAACTGGAGGTCCTAATGCTGCTGATCTTATTGCAGACAAATACGGATTTGTGAATATGGGCCAGGTAAGTCCTCTGCAAAATGATTTGCCACTTAAATGTGTTAGTAAGTCGAATGTCTATAAAGTGGACCATCAAAATAAAGTGTTATTGTTAAATGTTTCATGTTGGATGTTATTACATTTATTATAACTTTGTATGTATTCTTGTGTCCTGCTTTAAATTCTTATTATACGTCTGAATGGCCTAAAAAAATTGTGATTTATCAACCAAGACAGTATGCTATTATGTTCTCTGTATGATCCCTGAATTGCAACTGGCAACTTTTCATCACACAATTACTATGGTGAAACTATGATACACTGATGGTCACATATGGTAATAACATGGTACTTTGTTATATATTGTAGAATCTTCATGCTATTCAAGTCAATACTTATTGTCATTTAAATTGGAAGATGTTGTTCCAGGTACAGTTTTTGCCAGACAAAACTTCAAAGACAAACTAATATTTTTGCACCAACTAAACAAATTGTAGTTTCTTGTTATTTTTTTTCTTTCAAATTAGTCTTTTATTATTACCAAGCCCATATCTTTGGGTCACTGGCTCTTCTATAATAAATGTGTTTAACCATGCAAGACGAGCTCCTAACCTCGATGGCATCTTATACCCTACTTCAGTTAGTTAACCAACTGGCACACTTTCTTTGTCCCATTACTACACAAATAAGTAGCTATAGCAGCAGTACATTTATGAGATAATTAAATGTGACAAGATGCTCATGGAGATGTAAATAAATGTAATTTTCATTTATTTGAATATCTGATTTAAAAAAAAAAAAACAAAGACAAAAAAGAAGTCTAGGGCATACTGTATGCTTGCCCCACAGACCATGATAAGTGTAAAACACACCACTATTCAAAAACTGTAAAGTAAAGAAAAAGTAAATTTTAATGTTACAAAATATTTATATTTCAAATAAATACTGTTCTTTTGAACTTTCTTTTCACCAAAGAATCCAATAAGAAAAAATGTATCACGTTTTACACAAAAATATTAAGCAGCACTCTGATAATAGCAAGTAGCCTAACGTTTTTTAAAGGGTTAGTTCACCCAAAAATGAAAATTAAGTCATTAATTACTCACCCCATGCTGTACCAACCCCGTAAGACCTTCGTTCATCTTCGGAACACAAATGAAGATATTTTTTTATTAAATTTGAGAGCTGTATCACTACCACATAGGCTGCCTAAGGGACTGGAAAAGGAATTATTGGGGATTGCCCCACTGAAAACTGGTGGACTATGCTATTGTCCGCTGCAGAACTCTGGTAAAGGAGTTGGAGTCATCAGAGAGAGTTCAAGTGTTTAATGCACAAGAGTGACCATACTGGTACATGGTAGTTTCTGAAATAAATAACATAACAGAAATAAATATTCACTCACTGAATTATTCAACAACTTAAGATATTACAAACTCAAATATAAACATCTCTGTAAAGTGCACAGATACATGAAATATATTATAAATCAAGAAATATATACCTATTAATATGAATCTACAATAAACTGCATAATGCAATTGAATTGACAAACACCGAATGTTATAGAAATCGACGGTCTTCATTATCACTGGCAGTACTAAATGACAATAAGTGAAAAATATTATCCACAGAGAAAATCACCTCAAAGTATTAACTTGTAAATATGAACAAACCGAGCCGCGATGCTAGCGGGATAATCTGCTCGTTAAGCAGGATCAAATTACCGTTAGAAAGATCGCTAAACATAATAAACATTATCTAACTCAGCACAGATCGTCACATTGTATTTCAACTGCACTATTAACAATATACATAGAAGGAAACTTACTTTGTCATAAACTTTCTCTTGCACATGAACGCTGTACATGAACGCGTGCACAATATGATGCTCAACTGGTGTAGCTTAGTGAATAGGCAATTACACTTAGTTCGTACGTGCTGAGAACGCTGCACTGCGTTATCTGCGTACAACGCAACTTAAAACGTCACCCACGTAACCAGCTCAATTTCTAAAGGGAGAGAATTCGCAACAGGAATAGTCGAATAAAGTCGTTATTTTTGTTTGTTTTTTCGCACAAAAAGTATTTTCGTCGCTTGATAAACTTATAGTTGAGCCACTGTAGTCACATGGACTATTTAAACATTTTCTTCATTGACTTTCTGGGCCGTCAAGAGCCAGTCCCTTAGGCAGCCTATGTGGTAGTGATACAGCTCTCAAATTTAATCAAAAATATCTTCATTTGTGTTCCGAAGATGAACGAAGGTCTTACGGGGTTAGTAAAACATTGGGGGTGAGTAATTAATGACTTAATTTTCATTTTTGGGTGAACTAACCCTTTAAGCACCAAAGCACAATATTTGAATGTTTTTTGAAGGATCATGTGACACTGAATGAATGGCTGCTGGAAATTCAGAAAGGCACATAAATAAATTAGAAATCAGAAAATATATTAAAACAGAAAACATGTATTTTAAATTGTACAAATATTTCACTATATTATTGTGTTTACTGTATTTTTGATCAAATAAATGCAGCCTTGATGAGCAAAAAAAGACTTCTTTCAAAAAACATTACATAAAAAATATTTTAAAAGATGCTGTCATTATTGGGCTAAACTTGGAATATTCCTTTGATATTACTTTTAGGTCGTTTTGAATCCCAATGTTTTGTTGTGCAATGCATCATGGGATTTATTTGGCCCACAGTCTCTATTTGTTTTACTTTTTTGCTCTGTGTGATTAGTTCATTTCGCTTTGTGTCATTGAGCACATTCAGTGTTATCAAGGAAACTGACTTCCCACACTCAGTCAATGAAATGTGTAACTGCTGTCTAATGCGGGGCTGTTTAGTTCCTGGTAAATCTGGTACTGTGTGTCTTCAGCCAACCTCATAACGTCAAAGCACATGGTGTCAAAGAGATATCAGCAGCCAGAGTTTAAGCTCAGCTGAATCGTGCAGTGCTAGCTCAGGTTGCCTCTGATGGTAAGTCTATCAGCGGTGTAGAATAACCCTTTTGTTGTTTCGTAGGCATACGTCAGGGATAGATACATAATTGATATCTCTGTCAGTCACACCTGAGCAGTGGCTAACACAATCTTCTTCCTCTTGTGCCGTTGCAGATAGGTGGGCTAGTGGACCATTACCAGTTCCAGCACAGAGAAACCATCAAAAGGTCCACTATTAAAAGCAGAGGGAACCACAGTCTCATCACCACGGAGACCAAGGTACAAGGATTATATACCTTCAGTCACAGAGACACCACTGAATAGTTAATAAGTTAGGCTACACCACCCTAAAACACCGCACACACACACTTACCAAAACAGATTAAATCAGCAGTATGCCAAACCACAGGAATGCATCCCTAAACTTGCCAAAAACTAAATGAGATGATGTTTTGTTAATAAATATTTCATTTAATTGACTGTGGTTTGTGAAGCATGTTATGTATGCAGTAGATCATCATAAATATGTTCTGATGCTGAAGGTGGAGTGGATCCAGCAACAGATGGTTCAGAAGAGAGTAAAAAGAACTGACACAATGGACCAAACCCAAGCCATCACCTTCAATGATGCCAAGTGGGACAACATGTGGTATATTGTTAGTATGCGACACATTACAATCAGCAATTTTATATTCAGATAAAAAGCATTATTTAATTTTAATTTGTGAAAATATGTACATTTCAAAGCAATATGTTCAATATTGTACATCATAATGAAATACCCCTTGTATACTGTAGTTTTAAAAAGAGTACATCAAATAAAAATGTTTTGACCCAATTAGGCATCAGGATTTAAAGTGGTCATATAATGGTACATGCACTTTTTTCAAGTTGATTGTACTGAAATGTGTGTTGGCCTGTTTTATGTTTTTTAATTGTGTTTTTCGATTGCCTCAAATTGAGCCGTTCGACCGTGTGACGTTCTTGTGTTAAAGGAGAACTCCGGCGCAAAATTAACCTTTGGTCTAATAAAACATCGGTACCTATTCAACCGTTATCTAAAATTTGTTTTCATGATAATCGAATGTAAAGAGTTGTATCTCTAAAACTGTTTAGCATGGCTATAATGCTAGTACTGGGGGCATTAACTAAGTAAAAAGAAATCTCTAGTTTGTACCACTAACAAGGCTCAAAATAGCCCCACATTAACATTGTAACATAATGAGGGTCCATACATGCAAAACGAAGCATTGAGAACTTTGTAAGTGTACAGACCGTTTAATAAGAAGATACTTTATGAAGACAGTTCACTTTGTATTTACAGACAGGAGCCATCTTTGGAAAACAGTCACGACCAGTCAAACCATGAACGTCGTGCTGAGTGAGCTGAACTGTATGAAGTTCAGCGAACTTCTGAATGAACGGCGTTCAGGGATCTAAGATGGCTCCTGTCTGTATACACCAAGTGAACTGTCTCTATAAAGTATCTTCTTATTAAATGCATGGTCTGCACACTTGCAAAGTGCTCCATGCTTCGTTTTGCATGTACCCTCATTATGTTACTGCGTTAGTGTGGGGCTATTTTGAGCCTAGTTAGTGGTATAAACTAGCCATTTCTTTTTACTTAGTTAATGCCCCCAGTACTAGCATTTTTAGAGATAAAACTCTTTACATTCGATTATCATGAAAAGAAATCTCAGAGAATGGTTTACTAGGTACCAATGTTTTATTAGACCAAAGGTTCATTTTGCGCCAGAGTTCTCCTTTAAGAAAGATGTCATGAAAGTGTACTCTCATTTTTATCTGCATGGACAGTTTTGTTTTTTTTTTTTTAAAGTAGGGCTATACTTTTAAGATTTGAAGAACAATACAAGTGCACATTCAGTACAATTAAGCACACTTCTTTTTCACAATTTAAGGGACTGTAGTGATAACCTGAGACATACTGATGCATACTTAAACAAGTTATATTTTCCTACTGTTCTATTAGCACTGTGATCACAACTGCTTGACTGACATGAACATCCAGGCCGCCTGGCGCAGGGGCTACACTGGGAAAGGGGTCGTGGTCTCCATACTGGACGATGGTATAGAAAGACAGCATCCAGATCTTAAACAAAACTATGTAAGTGCTTTGACATCTTACGGGACGGGATCTGAAACAAATAATTTGGTCACACTTTATATTAGGTGCCTTTAACTACAACATACTGACGTATCTAAAAGAAGAAAAAGTTATCAACAATGTACTTATTGTGTTAAATTATGAATTGCAAAACACTTTTGCTGACATTGAAGGAGGATGCGGTCAAGGTTAGACAGGTTTCTTGGTATGATTAGGTTAAAGTGTAAGAAAATGGTCAAAAGTGTCATTATAGAGGTGCTGATACAATTCTGATATACTGTATTATCTGTTAATAATTAAAAATAAATGGAAAACAGAAAATTTACACTATCCATTGACAAACCTGGTGGTTTATTTTCTAGTAATCAGTCAAGTGGGAGTTGTTCACTGTTCAAATAATATCTTATTAATTGTCAAGACCAACAACTGTTTTGTATTTCCCATGTTTAGTTTCTGTTTCCTTTGGTACCTTGGTTTTCATTTGCTACTTTGTTTCAATGATTACAGATTAAGTTCACCTGTGCCTTGTTTATTTTTCATTTACCCTTGTATTTAATTATGTGGGGTTTTTTTTTTCTTCTCATGTGTGCCTATTTTCTAGTGATTATCTTTGTTAGTTTGGGTAAATAAAAAGAAGGCTGCATTTAGATCCTCTTGATCCCCGCCATGATGTTATTAATGTGTTATTATATATTTATAAGGATGCACGGGCCAGCTATGATGTTAACGGCAATGATCCAGATCCAACACCACGTTATGATGCCACCAATGAAAACAAGTCAGTCCATTTCCACTGTGCCCCAGTGCTGTCTCACTTCCCCCAGTCTCCGTATATGCCGATTTGAAGTACATTTTAAAATACAATGCTTCATACAAATATAGGGTTTTCGATTTCTTTGTGATTTCACTACAGACATGGAACAAGATGTGCTGGTGTGGTGGCTGCCTCTGCTAACAATTCTCTCTGCATTGTCGGAGTTGCCTACAATGCAAAAATTGGTGGTGAGTTATCAGAAATCTATGTTTATGTTTGTATGTATTGTACGATAATACAAATTTACAGAATGAAGTGTGGTCTTCAAAACATAGCCTATGCTCTTGATATCTATGGAGCTGTCCAATCTCCTCCTGTAGGTGTGCGTATGTTGGATGGCGATATGACTGATATGGTGGAAGCCCAGTCACTGAGTCTGAGGCAGCAGTATATTGATATCTACAGCTCCAGCTGGGGTCCAGATGATGATGGCAGAACAGTAGATGGCCCCGGCCCTCTTGCCAGGCTCGCTCTGGAGAGTGGCATACGCAAAGTTAGTGTGTGTTTGTGTGGTTAATTTAGTTACATTTAATTATTCCACATTTACATTTACTATTCCAAACTTCACTCATGCCACACTCTTCACGAAAATGAAACGCCATCAGTATACAATGCAGTGTCCTTCAGGAAATGTAGTTGGTAATCTGGGAATTCCACACATTCAGAAAATGTACATACTATTCACAGTATACACATTGCATACAATATAAGGTAGTAGGAGTTGTATGGTATGCCATTCCAAACACTGATTTTAGTGTTCCTGAGTTGTATTTAGCAGATGCTGGTAATATAGTAGGCCATCCGGATATTCCATGCATACAGCATGCTACTACATATTCACAATAAACGTGAAAATGGATACTGCGGAAATAGTAAGATTGTGATAGTGTGCCATTTCGAACTAGCAATGGTGTAACTTTAAAGTGCATTTTTAGATTGGTCTAATGGAAAATCATTCTTTCTAGTTTTAACCTGTTTTGTTCAGATTGACTAAAAGCAAATAACACTCCACCATAAACAATTAAAATAAGCAATTTTGTTTAAATAGTATTTTCATTTGACTCCAGACTGTTGATGTGCTGAACACATACTGGCTAAATTTGTTGATGGTAGAAAGGATTTTAGGTTATATTTTCTTTTCTTTTTTTTAGTACATCAGAAAATGTGAATCAAACTTTAAAAAGACAACAGTAAACATTAAGGTCTTTCGAAATAGTTTTCGTTTATAGTAAAAATAAAATCAGTGTACAAGGGTTGACACCCAGCATTCAACAGAAGGTCTTGTGTTATTATTTTTCCTCATATCCTTGTATTCTTTTAGGTGAATAAATTATATTTAAATGTTGCAAGCAAAAAAGCTGAAATAAATAAATAAATAAGCATTAAAAATCCTAAAGTATAAAAATCCCAAATTTACTGATATATCACTTGAGACTTACTGATAAAAATATTATGTTTTAAATAATATTATATAATATTCAACTTTATTTGGAGTACTTCTTTACTGCAAAATGCAAATTTCTTAATATTAAGCTTAAATTGTGTTTTAATATCACTAATAGTAAGGACAGTATGATCACTGTAATATCAGTCTTTAAATGCAAGATATTTAAAGTGTACCTAAAGTATACACAGATTCTTAACTCGGAGTGACTACGAAAGGGAACTAAAGTGCATTAAGTACAGAATTAGTTGTTCCAATTTTGCAGACTTAATGTAAATCAATTCACCTTTGGCTAAACCACGCCCTAGAATGTAGATTGACCAATCACAGCCCAGCCAAGAACCAGCTCCCACAGAGGTCCGACAGTTTTTCACTACGCTCCATTGACTTTCAACACAGGCGTCTCATATTTTTGGTCTCGGCAGGCTATTACTGTCGTAGTTTTATCCAAAATATGGTTAAACGTTGTGCCTCGGGCATTTGCAACACAGATACGCGTTTCCCAGAGAGGTTGAAGGGGGCTGTCCGTTTTTTCCCTTCCCAAAACCGAAGTAAAATCCTGACAGTGACAAGTGTTGTGTTTGGATTAAACTGTATGGACGTCCTCAGTCAGCTAAACCCTGCAAAGATCAACAAGCACATATTTTTTTACTTCTAACCTTACTGTGAGTGTGAAGTTATACTAGTTAAACCGTTTTATAATGTTTTAGGTGATGATTTCGGTTCTCATACCAGTTGTTCGTAGACATATACACTAGACCTCACCTTGGCTACGGCAGTTCATTGGAACGAATGCGTCAATGGAGCCCCCCTCCACTTTAATGCATCAGCGTCAATGTAGTAGACACAGGTCTAACGGAAAAAAATCACCATAAATCATCATGAATGCGATTTTTCTTGTTTTTTTTTTTGGTTTGTTCCAATGGTCAGACATGTATTTATCATTGATTCCAGAAAGAAAACATTTTTTTTTTTTTAAACATTCTTCCTAGTTCAGATTTCATACACTGCACAAAAGTCCGCCACCATCAATGAATTCGACGTAAAGGCAGAGATAGCAGCGTTATCTAGCTATGACAAGATCCCTGTTCCAAGATGGCGGCAGTTTTGACGCATGCTTAGAACCCCAAGGTGAAGTCTAGTGTATATGTCTATGCCGGTTGTTGATACGCTAGCACACGCTGCTAATAAATACCACGTTATACAGTACACATAGTCCGTTTGCTTTGAAATAACGATTATAGAAGTGAATAGAGACCTACCCAACTTTGCATGAACAGTGTTGCTCCCTGATTTTGTTAATCCCAGCCTCGGTCTCGATTAGTAGGAAATGCGGTGGTTCATTTTTTGACTGTGACCGGTAACGTTAACGTTATGCTTTTGCCTCTATTTTGGATGCCTTGTTGTTTCTTGCGTTTCAATATTGCCTTCGAACGCATATTGCAGCCCCTTTTGCCTACTTCTATCGGACACTTTATTTGCTGCTTTATAAAAGTTTGATAACATTTCTGTCACAATCCTCCGTCTGCACCAGTCTGTCTTGTCTTCAGCACTACACTTCCCATGATCCTCTCGTCTGCACACCTGAACTCACTCCCTCATCAGCCTCCCGTTCAGCGTCCTGTTCATCTGTTTCACCTGTTTTCACCCCATTAGGTTTGATTCTTCTGTGTATTTAGTTCGCTCAGTTTCACTCTGTCTTTGTCGGTCGTTGTCAATGGATGTTTGTTGTAAGCCCGTGTGGCGCCCGTGTCCCTGTCTTCCTTTCTGTTTTGTATATAATAAACCCTGTTCTCACCGATACTCCGGTCTCCTCGTCCTTCAGCCAGAGCCACACCGTGACAATTTCAGTAGGAAGAGCTGTTACAGCATGAGCCATGTAGAGCGCAGATGAAGTTTGATGGATGTAGCAACAGTAACTAAGGGGGGCGGGGCTTAGCCAAAGGTGAATTCAGTATGCCAAAAGTACAATTACAGGGTATTTAAATGAAGTACATACATGTTTAAATGGGTTTTTAAAAATATATATTTAGTATAAAATAAACGTATTTCAAATACATTAATTTTCACGATTCCCCTTTCCTTCTCAGGGCAGAAAGGGCCGTGGCTCCATTTTTGTGTGGGCATCAGGAAATGGTGGGCAGAGTCAAGACCACTGCTCATGTGACGGTTACACCAACAGTATTTACACCATCTCAGTAGGCAGCACCACTCAGAAAGGACAAAAGCCGTGGTACCTGGAGGAGTGCTCCTCTACTCTGTCCACCACCTACAGTAGTGGAGACAGCCACAGCCTGGGCGTTGTGAGTTACTCAATCACTATTTGTTTGCTTCGTGGGAAATTGGTCGTTTTTTCTTACTGGACCCATACATATGTGTGATTTCAGGTGACAACCGATCTGAGGCAGCGTTGCACTGATGAGCACTCTGGCACTTCAGCATCAGCCCCCATGGCTGCAGGAATCATCGCCCTCACGTTGGAGGCAAAGTAAGCAGTCAAGTCTGGTTTATTTGTGCTCTGTATGTTAGATGTAGTCATCTTTTGGTTAGATCTGACAAGCACTTTGTGGTCAAATCAAGTGTAACGTTTTTAAACCTGAGGTTCTGTCAAATGGCGAGAGAGTACACTTATCTTGGATCACCTCAATTCAGACACTTTGTCTATTTCAATTGGTTCAGAGCTGAATTCTGGCATTGCTGCTCATGGGCTTTGAGTTCCACTTGCAGGTTTAATTGAGCCAATCATGTCTGTAGGACAAAGTATTTACTGCCATCCATTTTAAGCATGTGATGAACAACTCATTTCTGTTTTCTCCGTCCTCAGTCCAGCTCTGACCTGGAGGGATGTTCAGCACATCATAGTGAAAACTTCACGTCGTGGTCACCTGAGCGCCTCAGACTGGCAGAGCAATGGAGCTGGATATGATGGTAGACTAATAAAAGCTTGTATATTAAAAATCACTTATTAAATATTATTCAACATTTATTCAATTTTACGTAAAAAAATGAAATACTGTACCAGCACACTTTTACTGTTAAGTGAATTTACGGAAACCCACACATTATAAAAACAAGATATCATGCCCACAAATAGTGATCGAACGATATTGATTTTTTTGTTGTCTGAACATTATTAAGTATGTTTGAGTACTAGTTCATGAACTTATTTTACTACTCAGAACCAAAAATAACTTCATGACAACAATGATAGACTGATGACAGAAACTAACCCTATCCTGAGCTATGACATTAAAAACTATTGCTTGCAAACATGCATTTTATAATTTTATGTATTTTGTAATGGCCTTCAATGAAGACAGATACTTTTATATCTGTATGGTGTAGTTACAGCTTCTATCAGAAGAGACTCCACAGCATATTAAGTATGCCCACATACTTAGTGAGTTGAGAAGCAGTATTAAAGGGTTAATTCAACCAAAAATTACTAACCCTCATTTGTTTCAAACCCATAAGACTTTCGATCATCTTTGAAATAAAAATGAAGATATTCTGAAGAGCTTTCTGTCCCCCATTGACAGTCCATGCAACTACCACTTTGTCAATGCAAAAAGTTCATTAAAAGATTGGAAACTAATCCAAATGAATCGAGTCAAAATTTCTGAAGAGACGATCGCTTTATATGATGAACAGATTGAATTTACACTTTTATTCACATATAAACATTGATCACCAAACATAAATAAAAGTTCAACCGAACCTGCTTGACTCACAAGAGTAAACCTCATTGGTTCTTGCGAAAGCTCAATCGTGCTGCGTAACACAATAGAATGAACTCTATTGGTTCTCGCTTGAGCTTCAATCTGATTCTATTTTTGTTTGAACTAACCTTTTCATAGTTGCAAAAGAATGGAAGTGTGCTCTTAATAGCAGTATGTAATAAATTGTTTCATCATTGGCTCTTGTGCAGTTAGTCACCTTTATGGGTTTGGCTTGATGGATGCTGAAGCCATGGTGAAGGAAGCGGAGACCTGGAAGCAGGTGCCCCCTCAACACATATGTGAGCAAAACATAGTCCAGAATGGAAGGTAACTGTTCGATCGAAATCCAAACTGCTGTATAGTTCCTGTATTCATACTAATGTTCTGTCTTTACAAAACTGTCTTTACTACTACTGTGGTGGTACCATGCAGGTGTGACAGTGGCCAAAATTATTAGAACATGGGATGAGACTGTGTTAACTGAAGCCAAAGGCTTTCCTTTGAAAGTACAATAGATCTGTCCAGTTTATTTTCCAACTCGCCCCAAATTTACTCAATGGGGTTGAGGTCTGGACTTTGACAGGTCCAGTCCATCATTTTCACTGTCCAGCAGATTCTTTCCGTCGCAGGTAGTCCCGGCAAGATTTAGAAAAATGTTTAGGGTCATTGTCCTCTTGGAAAATAACAATTGAAACCTCTTAAATAATAATAATAATAATTCATTACATTTATATAGCGCTTTTCTCAGCACTCAAAGCGCTTTACATAGAGAGGGGAATCTCCTCAACCACCACCAGTGTGCAGCATCCACCTGGATGATGCGACGGCTGCCATAGTGCGCCAGAACGCTCACCACACACCAGCTTACAGGTGGAGAGGAGACAGTGATATAGCCAATTGGCACATATGGGGATGATTAGGAGACCATGATGGACAGAGGCCACTGGGCAAATTTGGCCAGGATGCCGGGGTTACACCCCTACTCTTTCAAAAGACATCCTGGGATTTTTAATGACCACAGAGAGTCAGGACCTCGGTTTCTCATCTGAAGGACGGTGCTCTTTGACAGTATAGTATGCCCTTTACTATACTGGGGCATTAGGACCCACACAGACCACAGGGTGAGCACCCCCTGCTGGCCTCACTAACACCTCTTCCAGCAGCAACCTGGCTTTCTCAGAAGGTCTCCCATCCAGGTACTAACCAGGCTCAGCCCTGCTTAGGTTCAGTGGGCAACCAGTCTTGGGCTACAGGGTGATATGGCTGCTGGCTAAATATGCCACGTGTTCTAATAAGTTTTGCCACACTGTATATATTGTCATGGTATTAAATGATTACCTTTTACCAATTGAATTTGCATTGTACTCCTAGATACTTTAAAAAATATATCATTATTTTTGTTTGACTGAAGATTCACTCTGATTCTCTGTATTTGTCTCAGGATCATAAGTCCAGAGAGGGTGTTGAGGTCAGTGTTCAAGTCCTCAGGCTGCTCTTCTCAACGTCTGCAGAGGGTAGTTTATCTGGAGCACGTTATTGTACGTGTCACAATCACACATCCTCACCGGGGAGAACTGTCAATCACACTGACATCACCCTCTGGAACCAGATCTCAGCTTCTTTCTAACAGGTACAAATATACTGAGCCTGCTCAGATGGACTGAAATGAAAATAAAAGCATGATTTATTGAAATAGATAATTAATACTATAAAACCTAATTTAATCATATTTGATGTATACATTTCTGAGGCTTCTAAATAATCACTATTATTAAAACCTGTTGAACACAATCTTCTACATGGCTTCTGCTATCTGACTGATAGTTTATACTTTTTAGCTGGCTTTTTAGTGTAATTATATGCCAATATTCAATATGCTCTAAAATCATTACTGATTTTTATAATGTAAACATACAAATAAATCTTAAATTGTTAACAATATTTCAACATAAACACTGGACTAAAGCAACATAGGTTTACCCCTATGTTGCCAATCCTACTCCTTGATTATCCCATCACGACAAGCATGGCTAAAGTCAGACTACATGTCATTGACATTGAGATGTGTTCTGGGAAACACATGTTCATTTTCTCATATTTGAGGCATGGTTTACGAATGCCCAGAGCCATTTATTGAGTGCTACGAATGTCTATCAAATGCGCCTGTACGTAGCTCACAGCCAATTGTTTCAATTATACCAGATGACGTATGTAGAGCGAAAGAAATTATACAAGTAGACAATGGGTTAGAGATTTATTTGCGTTCTAAACTACTCAGAACAATATCTAAGGCTGCATTGAAAGGTAACTTCGCTTCTGCCATGTTTGATCCATAGATATAAACAAACTGCTTCGGGGTATGTCGCATAGACATCCTCATCGTCTTGGTTCTCCCTCCCCGTTCTGTGATTGGTCCCCTCGCTGAGGCGAAAATTTGGTCCATGATATCCAGACTTCCTAGCAGCGTGAATAAAATCGTGCTGCGCAAAGGCAGTATGGGAAAACCCAGCTATCACTATATATCAATTTTAGAAATATCATGGTAAATTTGTAAGAAATCTGTGGTAGAGGCAAAGACTGCCCTTCAAATTGGTGATATCGTGGGACAGGTGCAGCATGAAAGAGGGGGTTTGGGGCTCAGTTTAGCTCCTCCTAAATGGCACAAGGCAGGCCCAGCTCAAAGGAGGAAGCTGGTAATCAACAAGGTGCGAAAGCAGGAGGAGAGGAGAGGAGTGTATAAAGGCCATTTCCCAGGCCAAGCAGGGAGAGTGGATGAGATGGGAGAGTGTGGAACAACGCAAGATGGGCTGGCAAGACCTTTGGTCAATGGAAGAGAGTAGGATCAGTTTCCTTATTATGTCAACATGTGATGTTCTGGCGTCACCACAGAACCTAAACCTCTGGGTAGGAGAAGATCCCTCTTGTCCTTTGTGTTCATCACCTGCCACATTAATAAGGCACATTCTGACAGGATGTAAGGTGTAAGTACAAATACTGTGATGTTTGGGTTTAGCATTGGAAGGCAAGCATAACATGACCTATAAGTTGCCACTTGTTCTAGCAAAACATTACACACAGAAGACAATATTCCTTCGCCCAGGCAAACAATCACCAAGAAAAGGTGTTAAAACCAGTTCTCGACCAGGACAACTGGAAGCTGCTAGGGACTGAAAAATGGTGGCTGATCTTGATCATAAGGCATTTAAGGAACGTTTAATTTTACATAACATTTTACATTATTCCATTTAAAGAAAATCAGACTGTTATTTCATGCCAGGCTTAACATGTGTGTGTGTGTGTGTGTGTGTGTTTATCTTCTTATAAAATACTATAAAATACTAATACTATAATAATAAAATCCACAATAGCTGTAAATCTTTACCTTTTCTCACTAATTCTTTAGGATTATCTGAGTGAATGTTTTAATTATTCTGTGGTTATTTCCTGTAAGACCAAATGACCACTCCAGTGAGGGCTTCCTTAAGTGGGAATTCATGACGACTCACTGCTGGGGCGAAAAACCAGCAGGAGACTGGATCCTGGACATCAGAGACACCCCATCTCCGCGCAGAAACAGCCGACTCCAAGGTGCCTACCATCTTAATATACTTTAAACTTTACTGTGATAGAACCCATGGTGTATATATACAAAATGTAAACTACAACTATAATAGAATGTAAAATGTTTCCTTCTCTGTTGTTTATATTAGGGAAACTGGTAGAATGGTCCCTGGTGCTTTATGGAACATCCACACACCCATACATAAGACATGAACAGCCCCGCTCTGCCCAGCTGCCTTCTCAAGATGACACCACAGAGGAGTATAATGGTAATTTACCCAATTCTTTTAAAGCACACAGGCAAAACAATTTTATATATTATTGATAAAAAACAAATAAAAATTACATTATATGAAGTTTATTTTAAGAAAGTTCTGGAGCATGTGAGGAAGGCTATATATAGCTATCTCTCACCTTCCCATTTTTCCAGCATCCCTCGGCCACCCCAATACCTCATTCTCGCCTGGTTCCTATATACCAACCAGGGATATATGGGGGAGTATTCCAGCTTTGTCCCAATCCTTAAACTCCCCTTGAAATTTAACAATGCATTCACATGTTCACCGTTTTCTGTGCTACTTCTACTTCTGTTTCTACTGTAGCAATATTGCTACTGTTGTGCTGAGACATCCACATAGACATATACACTAGACCTCACCTGGGGGTTCTAAGCATGCGTCAAAACCGCCGCCATCTTGGAACAGGGGTCTTGTCATAGGAAGTAGCTAGGTAACGCTGCTATCTCTGCCTTTACTTCGAATTCATTGATGGTGGCGGACTTTTGTGCAGCGTATGAAGTTCACGGATGAAATCTGAACTAGGAAGAATGTTTTACAAAAAAATTTAAAAAAAATTAAAAAAAAAAATTTCTTTCTGGAATCAATGATAAATACATGTCTGACCGTTGGAACAAACCAAAAAACAAGAAAAATCGCATTCATGATGATTTGTGATGATTTTATTTGCGTTAGACCTGTGTCTACTACATTGACGCTGATGCATTAAAGTGGAGGGGCTCCCCTGCTTCAAGATGGCGGCTCTATTGACGCATTCGTTCCAATGAACTGCCGTATCCAAGGTGACGTCTAGTGTATATGTCTATGAGACATCCAGACATGTTTCTGCTGATGAAAAAAAAGTTTGGCTACTTTTAAGGGTGTTCACACATGTGTTCACTTTTTACAACCAACTCTATATGATTATATAATCTGCAAGCGTGTAAATGAACAGTCACTTCACTTTGAAATACAAAGCGCAACTGACTGTAGGTCTATGCTTAATCAAATCACACCATTTATTTGAATGTTACATTCAGTTTAATTAATACGCCTTATTCACGGCAGCGCCATCTTTGATTTTTAGTGAGAATGAAAGCGAGGCTGTGAGGGATAGACATGCATCTCTTCAATGGGCTGTACTGTTATTTATTGTGTTTTCAGATTGTTCTGCTCATGAAACACTGTTACAAATTTCTTTCCAAGAAATTTCAGTTGACAAAAAACTCCCGATCTGTAAGCTGTGGAAAATCGTAAGTAATTGAGGAGCTTTATTCAGCTTTTTACAGCGGATGCCATTGTAAACACGGTAAGTCTATCCCTCACAGCCTCACTTTCATACCTGTCATGGGGCTGCTCTGAATAAGGTCTATTATTGGCTTTTCATCAACTCACAAACTCCCATCAGTTCCTTCATTAACCCATTTAAGGGCATCTGTGTATTTTTAAGTGGGCTTCACTGCCCACTTTTGGGGCCATTGTAAATATAATTCTTTGTACTTTGCTTTATCCTTCTACTCTATTAAAGGCTCTTGTGACCCCGAATGTAGTGAGGATGGCTGTGAAGGACCTGGATCCCACCAGTGTGTTTCCTGCTTGCACTTTTTCCTAAAGTTCAAAAATAACACACGGTCAGGAATTTTTAATTTTCTCTTTGTTCATTTCCTTCTTTATATATATATTTTTTTTACTGATAATACACTAACTCATTTTTCAGGACCTGTGTGTCTGAGTGCCCAGGCGGGTACTGGGGGGATAAGAAAAGGTGTAAGAAGTGTTACTCCTTCTGTAAGTCGTGTTTAGGCAGCCGCAGTGATCAGTGCACAGCCTGTAGGTCTGGATACTATCTGAATGAGGAAAAGAACAACTGTGTGACCAGCTGTGAGGATGGCTACTATCTTCACCACGGTAAGAGTGATGCCACCATGTCAATAAGACTGAAAAGCAAGTGGGTTACTTGTTTATTAAAAAGAAACCAAGTACATTACACATTACTCTTAGTCCCCCTGCAGTCATTTTAATTTTGTACCTTAAAATTCATATGCTCATCTATACTAAAAAAATCTATACCAAAATTACATATTTAAACCTTTTTCCTTGAAAAAAAAATTCTTCATCCCTTAAAGGTGCTATATGTAACTTTTCTTCTAAAATGAATGTTTTCTTTTTTTATTGCACGTGAAGGGGTTGTAATCACACATTACAATGATCCACTTGTCGGGTTTTGCTATTACCTCTGAAGGCCAGTATTCCTATTTCTATGTGAAGTCTCTTGGTCAGATTTTCTGCAAAGTCCATCAGATGTGACGTGTATGTGCGCTCCCGAGCCTCTCTCCTTTTTATATAAGCCTATGCGACGGCACTGCAGTTAACGACATGGAGTCTGATAACACCAAAAAAGGATCTGCACAACACAGACTCCACATAAATATAAAAAACAAAACAAAAAATTATCTGCTGAAGCTCGTCAGGCCAAACGTGAATTAGATTGACTTAACTTAACAGGACATAAGTCATGGTAAACTGTAATGAAATAGCAAGGTAAACTACAACATATACTGTATGAGACATGAAATGAATAGATGTTCCAGAACAAAAAAAAAGTAGTTGCTTTAGGATGTAATATTTATTTTATGTACTAGATCTACTGTCTAACGTCACTCATCCCACTACTATCATATTGTTTACACACATATCCAGACACGTTCAGTAAAGTAATGTTACTTCCTACGATCTTACTGTTACACTGAAATTGTTCAGTCTAGTTCATTAACTGTTTTCATTATCATATCATGCAATCACCTATGTTGACATTGCTGATTGTGAAAGATACACAAATAGTTAAATGCCTTATGCTAGATAGCACCACAAATGTAACGTTATCATGGTACGAGCATGGACAGCCCATTCTCACCCTGACCATGCTTCAATATCTGACGCTTTAGGCGCCCTTTAGCTTCAGTTAGATGACGGCCTAGGATCGCGTGTAACCCTACCCCCACCCCATACCTAAACCTAACCGCGTCCTCTAACTGACGCTTTCCTTTAGCGTCAGTTAGATGACGCTGTAGGATCGCGTCATGTAACTGACGCTAAAGGGTGCCTAAAGCGTCAAATATTGAAGCATGGTCAAAGGTAACGCCTTGGGGTGAGAATGCGTTGGCATGGAGCATTAGTTCAACGTCAAGCTGATAAAGGTAGCCTATTATTGTAATGTTGCAGTGGAAGTTTACATGAGTTTCCAGCATTTTGTGTGATGCTTTCTCCGATGTGTTGAAAGTCTCAGTGTGGCCGGGACCATGAGTGTTTGTTCTTGTGTTCTTTGGTTGCAATCTGAAACATCACCGATAGAGGTCGATAAAAAATACATGTAGCACCTTTAAAATAGCTTGAAAGTAACTCTACACCCTTGCCTCATATACTATACACAGCCCGTTCTCATCCCAAGGCATCATCTAACTGACGCTTTTGACCATGCGTCAACATCCGACGCACATGGCACCCTTTAGCGTCAATATGAGACGCACCTCCTAGTGGTCTAACCCTAACCCTACGCCAGACCTAAACCTACCCGCATCATCGAACTGACGCTAAAGGTTGCCATGTGCTTCGGATTTAGACTCATGGTCAAAAGCGTCAGTTAGATGACGCCCTAGGATGAGCATCATCTAACTGACGCTAAAGGTTTCCATGTGCGTCAGATTTAGATCAGTTAGATGGTGCCCTAGGATGAGAATGTTGCTATACATGGTTCTATAAATATGCAAATTAGCCCCTCCTCCACTCAGTCACACCAGAGATCCATGAGATTGATGATCACACGTTGACGTTTTTGGTTACAAGGTAGTTTGTGACATCAGAAACACCAGCGATTTTAAAGAGAAAAGAGTCAGCAATGGTGTTGACTAGACATGTGCCGGTATTCGGTAATGCGATAAATCGCGGTAATAAATATGCACGATATTGTTATCGCGGGCTCTTCAAAATACCGTGAAAAATAATAGATTTGAATTTAGACTTTTAGAGCGCGCATTAGCTTATTTTCCATCTACCGCTCAAACACTGCGTGCTGCGCAAAACACGCGTGCACTCTGATGTAAACAATCCCCACATGTAGCACTGTGTGCATGCGACAGTGCGCACTAGTCTAATGTAAACATTCCTCACATGGAGTAGAAGCATGGCGGAACGCTCCCGACGATTTATCCCCGCAGGGCTGCCAACTCTCACGCATTCAGCTTGAGACTCAAGCTTGAGACTTTCAGACAGGACACGGAATACGCGCGCAGGGATGTTTTGTTGCTGCGTCCACCTGCATCGATCAACACACGCCGTGGTTAAAGTACAAAATAGTTCAACTTTTTATTTGTAAAATGGCAAATCGCGTTGTATCTGAAGGGCAACGTTGAATCAAGCGGTCAGCGTCGCGCATTCCGCGTCCTGTCTGAAAGGCGCTTAACGCATTTGACACTTTTCACACGCTCTCCCACGGAGAAAAATCACAGAGCAAAGAGGACACTGACACCGACAGACTAGACAGAGCAGGTTACTTTTGATATTAAAATTGTTGTTGATAAATTGATAGTTATTGATAAATCAGCATTTAGGTTCTGATCACAGATCGTTGCTCCTCAGTTCAAGTAAACCGATCATGTTACTTTCGTTTTTATTTAAAGATACAGTACAACTTACCGAAAGGTATATTTACGTGTACATAATAACGATCAATGAGTGTTTTCAAACACGGAAAGAGGTCAGTAACACTGCAGGAGAACAGTTGTCACAAAACGTTACATTTACCTCAGGAAAGCCATTTAATGACCAGCAAATTAGTTGAATAGGAAAAAATAGCAAGGAGTATTTTGCTAAATATTTAATTATTCTCTGTTTTTTATAATTAAATATAAATATATTATATATTATATTAAATATATATTAAATATAATATATTAAAAAATTATATTATTATATATTAAATATATTAATTAAATGTAAATATAATATATTTATTATATATAATAAAATTAAATATATTTAATTTCTCTCTGTATGTTTACAGCATTATGTGAGATTTTTTTTCTTGAGAAACATTAACAGACTGGGGCCTACCTAATATTTATACAAAACAGTCAATATTGAATTAAGACTGAAATCAAATCCAAGAATTTAATTGAATAATACAAACAGTAACCTACCAGTCATTGTACCATGTAAACATTGTAACATGTTGTCACTAAACTTTAAACAATTCGGTTTAGTTACCATATGTTTTGAAAATCACAATTACACATTCTGATGTAAGTTGGGTTTTTTTTAGAGACCCACAATGCATCTGTTATTCTTGAGCATTAAAATATTAATTTCATAAGAATATCGTGATAATACCGAATACCGTGATAAAAGCTCAATCAATTAACCGCAGCATGAAAATTTGATACCGGCACATGCCTAGTGTTGACTTATGAATTCGCACATTGTTTGTCTTAAACCATATTAAAAACACCACATAAATATATAAAAAACATTAAAAGCTTGATTTTCACCACAGGGGGATAAAAAATAAAGGTTATTTCGGCTGAAAAATCCAGCATTTCTGGTCAATGTGGGTTTTCCATGCTGGAATCAGGTTGGGATGTCCATGGGAAGACCAGCTGGTGGTGGAGTTTTGATTGAGAACAGCATTACTATGCTGGTCCACCAACTAGACAGCACTACGTCATCTCTAACCCGCATAAACCAGCCTGGACCAACATGGACTTCATCCTAGCTAGATTTTTCAGTGTGGCATTTATGGCTCCACAAAAAAAAAAAAACTAACATCCATGAAAACTTTAGAGATTAGGCCGATAAAAAAATACATGTAGCACCTTTAAAATAGCTTGAAAGTAACTCTACACCCTTGCCTCATATACTATACACAGCCCGTTCTCATCCCAAGGAGTCATCTAACTGACGCTTTTGACCATGCGTCAACATCCGACGCACATGGCACCCTTTAGCGTCAATATGAGATGCGCCTCCTAGTGGTCTAACCCTAACCCTACCCCAGACCTAAACCTACCCGTGTCATCTAACTGACGCTAAAGGTTGCCATGTGCTTCGGATTTAGACTCCTGGTCAAAAGCGTCAGTTAGATGACGCCCTAGGATGAGCATCATCTAACTGACGCTAAAGGTTTCCATGTGCGTCAGATTTAGATCAGTTAGATGGTGCCCTAGGATGAGAATGTTGCTATACATGGTTCTATAAATATGCAAATTAGCCCCTCCTCCACTCAGTCACACCAGAGATGCATGAGATTGATGATCACACGTTGACGTTTTTGGTTACAAGGTAGTTTGTGACATCAGAAACACCAGCGATTTTAAAGAGAAAAGAGTCAGCAATGGTGTTGACTTATGAATTCGCACATTGTTTGTCTTAAACCATATTAAAAACACCACATAAATATATAAAAAACATTAAAAGCTTGATTTTCACCACAGGGGGATAAAAAATAAAGGTTATTTCGGCTGAAAAATCCAGCATTTCTGGTCAATGTGGGTTTTCTATGCTGGAATCAGGTTGGGATGTCCATGGGAAGACCAGCTGGTGGTGGAGTTTTGATTGAGAACAGCATTACTATGCTGGTCCACCAACTAGACAGCACTACGTCATCTCTAACCCGCATAAACCAGCCTGGACCAACATGGACTTCATCCTAGCTAGATTTTTCAGTGTGGCATTTATGGCTCCACAAAAAAAAAAAACTAACATCCATGAAAACTTTAGAGATTAGGCCGATAAAAAAATACATGTAGCACCTTTAAAATAGCTTGAAAGTAACTCTACACCCTTGCCTCATATACTATACACAGCCCGTTCTCATCCCAAGGAGTCATCTAACTGACGCTTTTGACCATGCGTCAACATCCGACGCACATGGCACCCTTTAGCGTCAATATGAGATGCGCCTCCTAGTGGTCTAACCCTAACCCTACCCCAGACCTAAACCTACCCGTGTCATCTAACTGACGCTAAAGGTTGCCATGTGCTTCGGATTTAGACTCATGGTCAAAGCGTCAGTTAGATGACGCCCTAGGATGAGCATCATCTAACAGACGCTAAAGGTTGCCAAAATTGTTGTTTTATTGCAGGGATGGGAAACTTCAGTTTTGGAGGGCCTCTGTCCTGTAGAGTTTAGCCCTCATAAAAATTCGCCTGCCTAAGCTTTCTAGTAATCCTGAAGACACTCATTATCTTGTTCAGGTGTATTTGACCAGGTTAGGAGCTAAACTCTGCAGGACAGTGGCCCTCTTCAGGACCGAAGTTATATATATCTCAGATTTTCTGTGACTTGCTTGCTTAGGACACACCTTTGACTTATTCTGTGTTCATGAATGTTTTTTCGATGCAGAGGAAAACGTGTGTAGGAAGTGTAATATTGAGAACTGTATGAAATGCACCTCAGCCTCCATTTGCACAGAGTGTTCTGAGGGCACAAGGTAATATATTTTTATTAAATGTTTGAACCTACTGATATTTTATGAGGCAATGTAGCCATGTCACTTCACTGTAATGAAAGTTGACTGTTTCTCTCTCCGGTCCTTTCAGTCTTGTGGGCAACAGATGCCAGAAGAGTTGCGAGGTGGGCTATTACTACAGCAAGGCGGATGACTCATGTGAGCCCTGCCACCCAGCTTGTGCTACATGCAGAGGTGGACAAAGTACACAACTTCCTACTTGTGTGAAATGGTCAAATAGACCTTTCTCACAACTTCCGTATTTGTGACCGGAAATACGCAATTGTCGTGGTAATCTTCTTCCGCTCCATTCATAACAGATAGCGCCGCAGGCAACTAGTGAGAGTTGTTGCGTACCGATCTTTTTTGTTATTCCCAAAAGCAGCCATACCTGTCGTTTTCATTCCTTTCCTCGTCAGTTCCCTGTCGATGAAGTTCGACGGAAATGGATTCAGGCAATCTGGCGGGATGTTATTGATCCTGTGATCTTCTGTACTTCTCATGTCACCATTCACTAATAAGCCGTCATTGTTTGTTTATTTTTTAAGTTTTATGATTTGTGTATTTTGAAGTAACGTTAGTTCATGTTCAACTTTATTAAGATATATTTATTATTTTATTAAGATTCAACTTTATGTATCCAGCGGAATAAGCGCATAAAATATACACCACAATATAAAACAAGATAAATAAGAACACACAACAGTGGGCTACATATAAATTTTAAATATTAATATATACCATTCTGAGTATTTAACAATCTGAGTGTACAAGGGATAATATTTGTATAAATTGGTCTTCATCTTGGCAACAGCAGTGCAAAAAATTCATTACCTAGAGGATAACTGTTAAATAAAACTGACAAACTTCTTTCTGGTATTCACATCAAAATGCAGTTTATTGTAAATAATACTCCCTAAATATTAATAACTTTCCACACACTCCACCTTCTTACCTTTAATGAACGTATATTGGGAAGAATGAGCTTCAGTTCTAAAATCAATATCATATCTTTGGTCTTAGATACATCAGCTGCAGACAAGCATCACCACAGCATTTTACAAAGTCCTTAACAACTGGAACATGACAAGTTTACATTTTTTTCGAAGTTTTGAAGACTCTCTGATCAATTTTCTCCTCCCAGAGTAGGTTTTTCTGATGTGTCGACAGTTGACGGGAACTCCGTTTCCACAACAATTACGTATTTCCGGTTTTTGTGAAAAAGGTCTATATTACTCCATTACAAGGAAAAGTTGAAAAGACCATTTTTTTTCTTGAATAAAATACAGAAGAAGGCTACTTGTTTTTAAAATTAGGCAATTATCAAAATTCGAAAGTAAATGTCAATGCATTGTTTTATTATTGTGCATTGTTACAGTACCTTATGCCTCTGAAGCAACATAGTGAAACCCACAAAACCTATAGAAATTAAACAACTGAATTGATAAAAAAGACTGCCATAATCATCTTATTACTTTTTATTTAACACTCCTACCACCCCCACAAAAGAAGTAGGCCTACACATCTACAGTATGTGTATATTCATGCACATATGAACATTTGAAACAAGTAGTCTGTAAATACTTGGGGTGTAATGGTTCTCTGTAAAAAAAAAACCAAAAAAACATAACAACCCTAGGTTCGGGACGCACTTGCACCGCAGTAGATCTCAAAACTGATGGCACATCTAAGATCTGGTTTGTTGAAAATAACAACACCTAAAACAGACAGTTCCACTGTTGATAAATTTACTTGCTGGCTTCCCAAATAATGCATTACAACAGCGATAATCCAAAAAAAAAAAAAACGTGAACAAAACTGTTACTCATTGTAAACTCTGTTAAATGCGAGCGTCAAATGCTCGAACATGACCAGTCATTTACGCTAGTCATCACCACCCGGGAGTCGGGCCCTTAACTGCACACGTTACTATTGTGTTTAAAACTAAACTCATTTAAGCTTTGCCAATGTATTCATTGACCAACATCATTGTCTTAAAGGATTCTCATTTAGGATTAGTTCCAAATTATGATATACTGTAAATTCTATTAGCAATCAGCATTGCTTTAGCATCTTGTAATTATGGAACTCTAGGGCATCATAAGATTTTATCTCTTGAAATTATTTATTTTAAATATTACACTCTAATACTCTTATAATCAAACAAGGGTAAAAAAAAAAAAAAATGTTTATAATATCCAAAATTGAAGATCGAATTCCAACGGCAATCCAGCAATCTTTTGACATGGACGTTTTGTGTTTTTAACTGATGTGTTTTTTTTGTTTTTTTTTTCATGTCTTTGTGCAGCTGCAGGTCTAGAGTTATGTAATCGCTGTGCTGAAGGCTACCTGATGGAGAACTGGAGATGTGTGTCCTCCTGCAGTCAAGGTTACTACGCTGTACAACCAAACTCTGACAGCACAGACACTCAGAGCACCTGTGAGAGGTTTGTGTGTGTGTGCTGCAACCGCTCATCTCTTCAACATTTCCCATCATCTCTTACCACTCGTTTGATTCTGTATGTATATGTTCAGGTGTGATGTGAGCTGTCTGGCCTGTGTCGGGCCGGGTAAAGGAAACTGCAGTGAGTGTGTAGATGGACACACACTTCAGGGTGGCGTGTGTGTTCTCAGCCATAACTGTGTTGATGGTAAGTTCTGGGTCTTTCAACCAGAGTATGCAACCTGTTGATGCAAAGTACTGTAAAGTTGTTGTAACATTTCAGGTATAATTGCAATGAATTTATTTTTGTGTTTAAAGGGGAATATCAGGATGAGAGTGGACAGTGTCAGTCATGTGATGTGTCCTGTCATAAATGTAAAGGTCCAAAGAGTGAGGACTGTCTCAGCTGCTCCAACACACAGTAAGAATAACTTTTTCAACAGTTATTTAGCTGCTGAAAAGACACCAGTGCTGGTCCCAAGCATGGGATGCTGCTGGCGAGGCTTTTAAAAATCGGCATATCCGAATATTTTTTCGTGATAGTGATATTACAGACTGGATTAATGGCTGCTGAAAATTTTGCTTTTTCCACCACAGGAATAAATTACATTTAGAATGTATTCAAATATAAAATTGTTATTTCAAATTGCAACAGTATTTTACAACATTTCAGTTTTTGCTGTTTTGTTTTTTAATCAAATAAATGTGCCATTGGTGAGCATAAGAGACTTCTTTAATTATTATTCCACATAATTATTACAAACATTTATTTATTTATTGGTGAAGTTTTTAAATCTTTCAAAAGTAAAGAATGAATATATGCTGTTATTGTTACTTGTACAGGAGATATTCACAAATTCACAATATATAAAAGTGAATTGTAAAAAGTGATTTGCCGGGTCACAGGAGGCGAGAATGGTCATTCAGTCAGTTACCAGTACAAACAAAAGTCATTTTCTAATAATGTACATTTCCTCTGTCCCGTTCTTGTAGATGGCTGGATGAGGGACGTTGTGTGGTCAGCTGCTCAAATGGGAAATATCCGTCCAGTGGACAGTGCCACCTCTGTGACCACACCTGTGCCCAGTGCCTTGATGCTGGTCCTGCTAACTGTACCAGCTGTGATACAGGTCAAGATTCATTCCTCATCTTAGTCCAAATTGCTGCTGTTCCAATTACTCAACTAAAAAAATGGCCTTCATAATACACACTGACATTTGCTGTTCAGACTTAAAGGAGAACTCCGGCGAACAATGAACCTTTGGTCTAATAAAACATCGGTACCTAGTCAATCGTTCTCTGAAATTTGTTTTCATGATAATCGAATGTAAAGAGTTTTATCTCTAAAAACTGTTTAGTGTATAATGCTAGTAATGGGGGCATTGAGTAAGTAAAAAGAAATGGCTAGTTTATACCACTAACAAGGCTCAAAATAGCCCCACACTAACGCAGTAACATAATGAGGCTCCATACATACAAAACGAAGCATTGAGAAATTTGTAAGTGTACAGACCGTTTAATAAGAAGATATTTTATGAAGACAGTTCACTTCGCGTATACAGACAGGAGCCATCTTTAAAAATAGTCTCGATAAGTCGAACCACGTACGTCGTGCTGAGTGATCTGAACTCTATGAAGTTCAACGAACTTCTGAACTCTATGAACGGCGTTCGGGGATCGACTTATCAAGACTATTTTTTAAGATGCATGGCTCCTGTCTGTATACGCGAAGTGAACTGTCTTCATAAAGTATCTTCTTATTAAACGGTCTGTACACTTACAAAGTTCTCAATGCTTAGTTTTGTATGTATGGAGCCTCATTATATTACTGTGTGAGTGTGGGGCTATTTTGAGCCTTGTTAGTGGTATAAACTAGCGATTTCTTTTTACTTACTCAATGCCCCCATTACTAGCATTATACGCTAAACAGTTTTTAGAGATAAAACTCTTTACATTCGATTATCATGAAAACAAAACTCAGAGAACGGTTGACTAGGTACCGACGTTTTATTAGACCAAATGTTCATTGTTCGCCGGAGTTCTCCTTTAAGCAAATTAAATCAAAGATATACAATTAGTTTAATAGTCCAGTGTGACTGTTTCAAATCTTGATAATTCAAGCAGATAATTTACCTTTAGCTTGGAAGATAAAAAAATACTTTCTATCACGATCGAAACTCCACAATTTCATTCATAGCTTTAAGACACAAAAATGAAAATAGGAGAAACAACATTAATGATGACCTCACTTTTTTTTTTGATGGGTGGTGAGAGACTGGCAACAAGTTTATGATGTTTTAAGTGACACAATGACCTGCAGTATTTGCTTCAAATACACAAATGTGAAAATATGTATGACCAATACTTTTTTCATCTGTCTCCATTTACAGTATGTGTCCCTGTGTGTATAAATGTGTGTATGTGCTTGTATTATGTGTGCTGTAGATAAGTTTGGGATGGACCGGCACCTGTATAATGGCGAGTGTGTGGATGCGTGTCCTCAGGCTCATTTCCACACAAAGTTGAAGGCATGTGAGCCATGTCCTTCACACTGCAAACTCTGCTCCTCAGCCACACACTGCATCAGGTGTGATGACTCCTTCTACCTCAATGATGGTCTCTGTAATAAACTGGGGTGTGGTGAAGGTATGGCTTATTGTACAGTTTTGTTAAAACAAAGAAAAAAACATTAGAAACATTTAGCACAATGTCCATGAAAATGAAAGTGAAATGAAAATTACACTTTTAATTTCAGGGTGATTTTTCACTTTCAGGACAGACTTTCGATCAATGCAGTTAATTAGTTTGTGTGTGTGTGTTTTAGGGGAGGTTGAAGACCCAGAATATGATGACTGCATGTCATGTGAAGAGGGATGTAATAAGTGTGTTCTCTGTAAGTTCAGCATTTTTTTTTATACTATAGCATTTATTAATCACTATAGTATTATACAATGTAAACCCTAATACTCACAATAATTGTTTGGTTTGAGTAGAGCAAACTTAAATTAAAGAAATTAGTTTTAGAGTATTTAGAACTTTCTTTAGAGTTCACAACACTGACACATTTTAAGCAAACTGAATTGTTTAATTGTTTTGAGTTTTGTGAACATTTCTCTTTTAAATTAGAAAATGCTAAAATTAAGTGTTGTATAATGTTTTTTGTGCAAGATTAATGTTAGTGTTTACAGTTAGCCTATGCTATGCTAACTTCTAATCCCAAGCTATATGTTACCCGGCAGATAGCCTATATGTTAACTGTTCTAGATTGCCATACTCGTTCAGCAATTGCTATGCCATGCTGATTCTATCTAAGCATTGTGTTACCAATTAGCAAGGTAGCATTTACTGAATTAGCTAGTTAAAGCTAGCAAAGTTTCACCTTCTAAAAATAGATTACATGATCATTTTAAATAAAAATGTACTGTATGAATTAGCTTACTCAAATATTTAAAATATATGAGTACAAAATGAAAATCGTCCAGTTCTGCTCACTGAAACTTTGCATTTCCTAAAAGTTTTGTGTAACTAATAACTTTTGGGAGTTATGTCAACTTATTTGGGTTCACATCGAAGAATTTAGTGATCAATATGACTATATTAGTATGATCATACTTGGGATTAGTTTTCTGTTGGAGCACGTGGCTCATTAGTGTTTGTTTGTTTGTCATGTGCAACAAAAAGTCTTTATTAAAAAAAGTTTTTTTTTTTTTTTTTTAAACATAATTGACGGATGCAACAAATTGTTTTGACTTCACATTCCGCCGTGAACTACAATAGTGAAGTGGTTTTGATCCACTTCAAATGTCGACTATATTCAGCTGACCAGACAGATGTTTCTGAATAATTTACAGTTCGTTCACTTTGCAGATAATCCCAAACACTGTCTGTCCTGCATTGATGGATATTACAAGTAAGAAACATGATGTAACAGAACTACTGTATCTGCTGGCTTGTATGTGTGTTCTTGTGAAAGATTGAATGGAACGTTCTTTTACAGATGTGTGCTGCTCTGAGATGTGACTGAAATGCTCTGTGTATGTTGCACAGGTTTGAGGATGGCTGCTATAAGATCTGTCCTGCTAAGACATACACAGTGGAGGAGACCATGAGCTGTGTGTCCTGTGAACATGATTGTGTCAGCTGTGATGAAGATGAGTGCCACTGGTGTGAAGCTGACCTCTTCCTGTCAGGTTAGACTTAAAATGATTTGCAGTATACATTTTATCAGTTCATGCATTTCCTTGGAATCAAACGTCTTCAAGATCGAATCAAAGGTTATTGACAAGTTGAATGTACCCTACAGATGGGAAGTGTGTGCAGGAATGTCCCGATGGTTTCTACGGTGATGAAGATTCTCAGGAGTGTGAGGAATGTAACTCAGAATGCAGTTCATGTAATGGGCCGGAGAACAGTGACTGTGACAGCTGCGTTGATGGACTGACGCTTGATAATGGAGCTTGTGTGTCTGAACAGGATGTCTGCCCTCCTCAAATGTACCTCACTGGTGAGAGCAACACTCCAGAGAGGAAACATCTATTATTTAGAGACTTCTCATTCATAGCTCCAGAGACTGAATTTTAGTCGCATGGCATAGTCCAGATAATTTGGTCTTGGAAGAATTTGAGTTCATACTGAATTCCATCCATCTATCCATCCAATTGCCAAACCGCTTGTCCTAGAGTTGCAGACTGTGGCGAGCAGGAAGAGGCCGAGGGACTTGAGAGAACGGTGCAAGTGTCTCACAGGTGTCATTCATTATCACTCATACCACCAGCCTCACACCGTTATCTCGCGCCCCTTGGCCTCGCACTGCTCGCCACACAGTCATATTGGAATATTCCTTTTGAAATCCACTGTAAAAAGGAAGACTTTGGATTTCATACAAACCCTTGAGAAGAAAAAAGTACACTTTAGCATACTTTTAGTATGTAATAATAATACATTTAAATTTATAATAAATGCCATTAGTTGAATTTGAGAGTGATTTTGACCCACTTAAAAAAAGACTTAGGTCCTGTTTACACGAGAATGCTCGCGGGTGAAAACGTAAAAATATTTTATCAGATGTGCCTTTCGTTTACACGGCAACGGTGTTTTTGAGGCTCAAAAATGCAAAAAAGTGAAACCACCCTCCAGAGTGGAAATCTTAAAAACGCTCCACCGCCGCGTTCCCGTGTAAACGGTAAAAACGCAAAAGTCTGCTTGACGGTGAAAGTCGTACGCAGGCGCGTGGACTTGGTGTTGTTGTAGTATGCACTCCTAGCCGCCTGGAGTGCATACTACATTGAATTTCACACACCTCTGCGTCTCCATTTGCACGCGGATTTCACACACAAAACGCTCGTCTAAACGCAGAATAAAAAAAGATGACGCAACGCCACTTTTGCGTTTTTTCTTCAGAATCGTTTCCGTGTAAACATAGCCTTAAGTATCTTTATATGTAGTATGTACCAGTAAATTAATTTGAATATATTTTGTCTTTGAAATATAGCTAAAGTGTACAGTTGAATGTACTGACAAGCATATAATTTCATGTAATTTCTAGTTAAACTTGTAAATCATTTGTTTTAAAAATATTCGTAATTAGACATTTGTTATGAATATGTTGAAATTTAGTACATATAAAATATATTACATTTAACTGTAATATAAAATATCACCCTATAGTTAAAATTATAATCAAATTATATGTGCTTTAGTAGGCTATATTTGTCAACAACTCAAAATAAGGGTGCTTCTTTAAAGAATGGCAAAAGTTTATTTAAACATTTTTAATGTACTTTTTGAATGTAGTAACTTTCATGTATGATGTATTTAAAATTATGTGTGTAAAGAAACATAAAGGTCATAAAATTGTTCTCTCTTAAAGTACACTTACTTCTCTCTTAAAGTACACTTACTTAAAATTAAGCAGATTTCCTTTTCACAAGGGACAGTTCAGTTATACAATTTTTGCTGGTTATAACTGCTCTTGTCTTTCAGATGATGGGGAATGTGAGGCCTGTCACTCTTCTTGCGAATCCTGCTTTGGGAGAATGAAGACTCAATGCAGCACATGTGTCAAAGGTACAATACGTGTAACTCAATGAAAAATATGATGGATGGAATACTCTTTGGTTGGATGCATGAAGGCTTGGATGAATGTGACGTGAATGTGACAGACGCTATGTGTGTTTTAGGTCTATATCTGACTGCAGATCAGATGTGTGTGGCACGATGCCCGACGGGCAGATTTGGCAGCAAGGAAAGTGGGAACTGCGAGAATTGTCCACAAGGTTGTGCCCAGTGCCAGGACGAGCAGCTCTGCACACGCTGCCAGTCAGCACGTAAAAGCCCTCTTTATTTGCAGGCTGGCCAATGTGTGCGCAAGTGCACTAGGTTAGAACCATTTACAGATACTTACAGTATGTAATGCAGATGTGAAAAGAATACCTGAAAACCATATGAGTAAAGTAGGTACTTCGGTATTGTACTTGTACTGAATGTAGGCTCAATATCCTCAACAGCCAAGAGACATACCAGTGAAAAACAAGGGTTTCTATATATTTTGATGGTCCCTTTAACACATTCTGTTGACAATAAATAATTCAGCCGCTACATATCTACGAACTCTTATTAGAGTATTAGTAGAGTATCAGTAGACTGGTAGGGTTAGGGTTAGAATAAGTTGACAAGTAGTCGCAAAGTTACTTGTAGAATATCTGTTTGAGGACCATCAAAATAAAGAGTTTGCAGATATTAAAGTCGGCATGAAATCAAATTTGACAAATCTTATTTTTATATGTAATACTGTAGTGTTCATTATAAATTCTTTATCTGTGCACTTCATTATTTTTTTTAAATTCATGTACCCTTATAATCTTTAATCAAAGACATTACCCTTCATCAAAACGACCTCTCTTCTATTTCGGTCACGTGGAATGGCAAAAGGGTGCGGCCAGAGCCGATGAGGGTGCGGCTATCGGTGCACCACCTCTCAGAGAATCGCATTCAAATCTGTCTCAATTTTGTATGCAACGCCCAACCTCCAACGATCCAATCAATTCCCGAAGGCCGAAATCAAGCCCTGCCCTACATTTTTTATTATTTCAGAAGCCGTTTCACTCGGATATACGTCACGACAAGGAAAAAATGACAATATCAACTTCCATTCGACTTTAAGCAGACAGTCTACTAATACTGTAATTAGTTGATATGTAGTTGCAAAGTTAATCATAGTCAACAGAATGTTCAAAAGGGACCATCAAAATAAAGTGTTACCAAAATTCCAATAAAATGAGTAAGTGTAACACATTAGTCAAAACAATTACGTTATTTATAACAATAAAACTCATCTTTGATCAACAAAATTACATATTTTTAACGTTTCCTTGAAAAAAATGTCATGCCTTAAAATAGCGTGAATGTAAATTTACACCCTTGAATCATATAGTATATGCTGTTCTATAAATGTGCAAATTAGCCCTGCCTACACGATGACACATCAGCGATTTCAAACCGCGTTTTTGAGACTGTCTTTGGTTCACTGCAGTTTTAAAGAGAAAATACTCAGCGATGGTGTTGACTTCCACATTTGCACATGGTTTGTCTTAAACAAGGCTTGATTTTCACTACAAGGGTACTTTAAAACTTTAAAACAAATTTACTCTCATATAAGAATGTCACATATCCAATTTTTGAGTTGTTGACAGACTACAGTATGTAGTAGCTATTGTATATATATATATATATATATATTATCAAATGATGTGTATGCATGTCTGTAATTGTGTGTTCAGAGGCTACCCTGTGGGTCAGGTGTGTAAGAGCTGTACATCTGGTTGTACGTCCTGTGAGAAGAATGCATCACATTGTCTGAGCTGTGAAGAGACGCTGCTACTACACAAACATGAGTGTGTGGAGAGCTGTCCGTCTGGACACACGGTGAGGAACAGGGAGTGTGTGCAGTGTCCAGAGAGCTGTGTTATTTGCTCTGAGGACAGCTGTACAGGTAAGACTGAAATCTTTTACATACATAAATGTTGTATGTTTTCATGAACTAATGAGTTTGATGTAGCTACACACTGGCTGAGCCAAGAGGCCTTTCTGCTGTGTATGCTTGGGTTTCCTCCAGGTGGTCTCGTTTCCCCTATCAAAAAAATATGTATAGGTGAATTTGAGACGCTAAATTGTCTGTAGTGTTTGTAAATTGTAATTGTGTGTTAATCCCAAGTCATGTAATAGGGAGGGTTGGGGAAAGACCTAGCGTCCTTCCCTGGAAAATGGACAGTCTCTATGGCGAGATAGTAAGATATATGGCCAATAGAATCATCAAGAGTCGGATATGACTAAAAAATTGTTAATGAATGAGTAGTGTAGCACATTTTGACCTGTGCAACCAGATTTAAACCTGGCTATATGATGCCTTCTGCTTGTTAGCAAAGCATGATCTGAACTTCTAAATAACAGACAAAAATAATTGAAGATTTAGTGTACTTTTGTAGTAATTGTTGTGTCCTTTTAAATAAACACTAAAAACTGAGATGAAAAATTCACTTAAGTAAGAAATTTACTTTTGATATGGTTAAAAAATGTTCAGCGATATTTCCCCAAAAAAGTTTGAAAAAAGTTTTGTCTTGCTAGCATGTTTGGAAATGTTTATACCATTACAACTAGCCGTGTTCCCACCTATATCTCAGTTTATCTTTCATTTTTCTGTCCTCTAACTCTAGAGTGTAAGGAAGACTTCTTCCTGCATCAGGGCCAGTGTATAGTGGCGTGTCCTGATGGATTTTTTGAGGACATGGATCAAGGCGTTTGTAAACGTTGCCACACGGATTGTTTGTTATGTGATGGACCTGAATCGACCAACTGTAATGCATGTTTTGAACGTGACAGCACACTGCACAACGGAGCATGTCTTGCCCCCTGTCCCTCACATACTTACAGAGAAAGCAGGTCCAGAGAGTGCATGGGTGAGACTACATTACTTTCCTTGCTGTTGGAACACTGTAAAAAATGAATGTAATATAAACAGACTAAAAATCACACAGTAAAAACCTCTTAATTAGTTAACAGAACAGTAAGTGCCTGTACCAAATGCGGTGAATAAACTGTAATATAGCTAGTGGGACATTTCTTGTAATTTTACATTAATTTTTTTTATTTTACTGTAAATCTTAGTTAAATCCATAAAACCTAAAATGTTGCTATATATATATATATATATATATTTACACTTTTGTTTTTGCCCTAAAGTTTCATGAGCTGAAAGATCTAAGACTTTTTCTACAGTATGTACACAAAAGGCCTATTTCTCTCAAATAGTGTTCTCAAATCTGTCTAAATCTGTGTCAGTAAAGGCGGGCATACACTGTGCGATGTCTGTGCGATTTCAGCAAGGTACCTACTCACACTCAACGAGTAAATAGCATGTGATGCAAAGCCAAAGTTCAGGATTTATGTGCTCACACTGTACGGTCTGATCGTCGAGCTGCGACTTCACTGCTCACACTATACGTGTAAAATCTGCGATAACCCCCTGGATTGCGCCTATAGACGTGTATGTATCCAGGGATTTAATTATTAATTATTGCATTTAATTATTATTAGGATTATTGTATTATACAGTAATTATTAGGGGGGGGGGGGGGGGGGCTATAGGCTAATTTTATTATTAAATTGATCCGCTATTGTAATTAATTTGCCGCGCAATGTTTTCACAGCACATAACCAACGTGCTATGAGGATAATAAAATATTACATAATCTTACTCCTCATTAAAAATTGTCTAAATCATTTAGGTCGATTACAATGAATTATAGGCATATAAAATAACAGTCTATAATATCTCCAAACATTGCCATAATTATCCTCAATGAAAATTAAAAACAGGTTTATTTCAAAAACATTGTTTAACAAATTAATAAAAGAGGTGTTACATCGCAGGTGGCTTGGAAGACGGTGGGTAACGTTAATATTATCCATTTTGCAACACGAACTGGAGGTAAGCAACAGTAATTTGTAGCTAGTCTGAACCACAGAACTTAAAGCTCTCCCTCTTTTCGTTTTTATTTTAATTTTATTTTTGCTGCAGATGAAATGAAACTTCTGTTTTCGTGCAGATACAGTGAGGGAAAAAACACTGAGTTTAGGGCAATCGGTTCATAGCGTTGCTTCAACTGTGCGATATAGTCACGAGGAGCGAGCAAAATTTCTGACATGCCAGAAATTCATCCGACCATCCGATTGTCGATCGTGAGAGGTCAATCGCCTCTCGTTTCTCCCTGTACACTGCACGACGCACGACAAAGCTGAAAATTGGCCCGACACGAAAAAGAGTCGCACGAGTCAGAATTCGGCTCAAAATTGGACGAAAATCGCACAGTGTATGCCCGCCTTAAAGGACAACTCCGGCGCAAAATGAACCTTTAGTCTAATTACACATTGTTACCTAGTCAACCGTTATCTGAGATTTGTTTTCATGATTGCCGAATGTAAATAGTTTTATCTCTAAAAACAGTTTAGCCTATAACGCTAGTATAATGCTAGTATATAGGGCATAGAGTAATGACAAATAAAAATCGCTTGTTATTACCACTAAAAAGGCTCAAAATAGCCCCACAGTAACACGACAGCATAATAAGGGTCCCTACATTCAAACCGAAGCATTGAGAACTTTGTCAGTGTCCATACAGTTTAATAAGCAGATGTTTTATACACACAGTAAATTTCGCGAATACAGGAAGAAGCCATCTTGGAAAAATAGTCTCTACCAGTCGATCTACGAACGCCGATCCAAGTGCGCTGGTGAGATGTGAATAAGGTGATAAGGTGAGCGCGAACAGTAGTCTACATGTACATATTGAAGACAAGTAAACGGTTTGTGTTTGTGTTTCTTCTGGAAACAACCGACCATATGAGATTCTGCTCAGTTCAGCGCACTTGGATCGGCGCTCGTAGATCGACTGGTAGAGACTATTTTTCAAAGATGGCTTCTTCCTGTATTCGGGGTGTTGACTGTGTGTATAAAATATCTTCTTATTAAACTGTATGGACACTGACAAAGTTCTCAATGCTTCGGTTTGAATGTAGGGACCCTTGTTATGGTGTCGTGTTGGTGTGGGGCTATTTTGAGCCTTGTTAGTGGTAATAACAAGCGATTTTTATTTGTCATTACTCTATGCCCTGTATACTAGCATTATACTAGTGTAATAGGCTAAACTGTTTTTAGAGATAAAACTATTTACATTCGGCAATCATGAAAACAAATCTCAGAGAACGGTTGACTAGGTAGCAATGTGTAATTAGACCAAACGTTCATTTTGCGCCGGAGTTGTCCTTTAAGCACTTCTCCTTTGCTGAGATAATCCATCCACCTCACAGGTGTGGCATATCAAAATGCTGCTTATACATCATGATTATTGCACAGGTGTGCCTTAGGCTGACCACAATAAAAGGCCACTCTAAAATGTGCAGTTTTATCACACAGCACAATGTCACAGATGTAGCAAGTTTTGAGGGAGCGTGCAATTGGTATGCTGACTGCAGTAATGTCCACCAGAGCAGTTGCCCATGAATTGAATGTTCATTTCTCTACCATAAGCCGTCTCCAGGCGTTTCAGAGAATTTGACAGTAACCACACCAGCCCAGGACCTCCACATCCAGCATCTTCACCTCCGAGATCGTCTGAGACCAGACACCCGGACATCTGCTGCAACAATCGGTTTGCATAACCAAACAATTTCTGCACAAACTGTCAGAAACCGTCTCAGGGAAGCTCATCTGCATGCTCGTCGTCCTCATCGAGGTCTCGACCTGACAGCATTTCGTTGTTGTAACCGACTTGAGTGGGTAAATGCTCATATTCGATGGCGTCTGGCACTTCGGAGAGGTGTTCTCTTCATGGATGAATCCTGGTTTTTACTGTACAGGGCAGATGGCAGACAGTGTGTATGGCGTTGTGTGGGTGAGCGGTTTGCTGATGTCAACGTTGTGGATCAAGTGGCCCATGGTGGTGTTGGGGTTATGGTATGGGCAGGCGTATGTTATGGACAACGAACACAGTTGCATTTTATTAATGGCATTTTGAATGCACAGAGATACCGTGACGAGATCCTGAGGCCCATTGTTGTGCCATTCATCCACGACCATCACCTCATGTTGCAGAAAGATAGTGCAAGGATCTGTACACAATTCCTGGAAGCTGAAAACATCTCAATTCTTGCATGGCCAGCAAACTCACCCGACATGTCACCCATTGAGCATGTTTGGGAAGCTCTGGATCCGTGTATACGACACCGTGTTCCAGTTCCTGCCAATATCCAGCAACTTCACACAGCCATTGAAGAGGAGTGGACCAACATTCCACGAGCCATAATCAACATCCTGATCAAATCTGTGTGAAGGAGATATGTTGATATGAGATATGAGGCAAATGATGGTCACACCAGATACTGACTGGTTTTCGGACCCCACAATAGAGTAAAACTGCACATTTTAGAGTGGCCTTTTATTTATTTTATTTATTTGATATGGACATAACAACAGCATTGGACAAACCAGATACCTTGTTTGCAGTGTTATAACACTGCAAACTTGCTAATTTGCAACACTTGTCCATAGGAGACAACACATGTCACCAATCACAACACAAAAAAAATACAGTAGTTACAAAGATTAGCAATACAATCTATTGTGGCCAGCCTAAGGCACACCTGTGTAATAATCATCATCTGTCTAATCAGCATTTGATTTGATTTACTTTATTAATCCCCGAGGGAAAAATTATATGTCACAGCAGAACAAAATACAATAAATAAATAACCATCAACATACACAGCAACAAGAAGTCTTGTTTTCAAACATCAATTTTTCAAAGCATTATGACTATGATTATATCCCAGACAGCAAACTGACATTGAATCAACGTGGAAACGACGTCTCTCATGACATTGAAACAACGTTGATTTTGCTCATCGAATTAACGTTGAACCAACGTCAGACGCGGCATTCTTCAAAGCTAAATGAAAATCGAAAATTGGTTTGCTTTCATAACGTTGAAACAACGCGTTGATTTCAAGTTGATTTTCCGTTAGTTTTGAAAGAATGACGCGTCTGACGTTGGTTCAACGTTAATTCGATGAGCAAAACAATGTCAGATCAACGTTGTTTCGATGTCATATTTCCACGTTGATTTAATGTCAGTTTGCTATCTGGGATACGACCATCATCTGTATCATTTTATATAACACTGATTATAAAATCTAATTGCAGTTGGGAAAAAAATACTTTTTAAAACGCTCTTTGTAGCAGCATGGATAAATTAATCTTGAGCTGTTAGTACTCACAAGCATCTTGATATGACACACCTGTGAGGTGGATGGATTATCTCGGCAAAGGAGAAGTGCTCACTAACACAGATTTAGACAGATTTGTGAACAATATTTGAGAGAAATAGGCCTTTTTTGCACATAGAAAAAGTCTTTGATCTTTAAGTTCAGCTCATGAAAAATGGGGGAAAAAACAAAACTGTTGCGTTCATAAATTTGACCAGTGTATTACAGAAAATTCAAAAACTGAACAGCCCTTTCAACAGTTCACAGTGCATTAACTAATGTTAACAAATTCAACTTTTGCTTTTATTAATGTATTATTAATATTGAAATTCTCATTAACTAAGATTAATAAATGCTGTAGAAGTATTGTTCTTTCTTAGTCCATGTTAACAAATCAAAACTTATTGTGAAGTGTTACCAAAATGGGAACCACAAACAATTCAATTGAATTAAAGTTAAATTACAATTTAGTTGATTGTTCTATAAATGATGATATTTTTAATGACCATAACTAGGTCACATGATGTTGATGAAAGGTCTTTGCCTCTGTTCTGCAGTCTGTGATAGTTCCTGTCTAACCTGTTCTGGACCTCACGACACATCCTGCACTAGCTGCTTTGAGGGCGTGACGATGGATACCCACGGGCGCTGCGCCACACCCACCGACTGCCCCTCACACCACTACAGCAACCAGGATGGAGAATGTCACTTGTGTCACAAATATTGCCATGAGTGCACTGGCCCACATCAGGACAATTGCCTCAGCTGCAACCAGAACCACTATCTACTCAGTGAGTTCGTGCAATTGAGGCATGGTATGGTACTCTCTTGATTCGCAAAGTGGAAGATGACTTCAGTGCAAAGAAATCGGAGAAATGGAGAAAGTTGTACCAGAGGGGCAATGAGTAGTCCCTTATTTTTTGAAATCAAATGCATTTTCTATATCTTCTGGGTCAGTTTAGAGTCCTAGGTCCATTCTTGAGACAGCAATTTTTTCCCCAAAAAATGTAACTGTTGTCATCATTTACTCACCCTCAAGTTGTTCCAAACCTGTATGCATTTTGTTCTTCTGCTGAACACAAAAGAAGATATTTTGAAGAATATGGGTCACCAACCATTTGATGGACCCCATTAACTTCCATAGTATAGAGAAAAATACAATGGAAATCAATGGGAGTCATTGAATTTGATTGTTTATTTTATATTAGATAATATAACTTATTGTTCAAAAACATTAACATAATACAGTTTTTGTCAGCAATTGCATGCAAATGCATTTGCTATTTAAACAACGTGGTGCAGGATGTGAAAATGGTAACTGCGGCAGGGTGAAACTAGCAAAAGAAACTTGACGTGCTTGGCGCTGCATTGCGCCGGGTGTATGATAGGGCCCTTGGAGTTTTTTGACAGTTTTGGATTTTATATTTCACAAAGAAACTCACATTATTGTTGACATGCTGAATTTTGATATTTATAACTGAATATATTACAGAATTCTTGTTGTCCATATATTCAGGATCTTGAAAATACAAGTGTACTAAAATATCAAATTTAGACATTTTTAACTTAGATTCAAGCATGTTTGTTTGCATAGAATCAGCTGAATGTGTGCAGTTAAATCCACAGGTTCAAATTACATTTCATAAGTAGTAAACAAAGATTCCACTTCATCCACAGATGGCAGCTGTGTGAATGTGTGTCCGGATGAATTCTTCAGGGGGGAAACACAGCGATGTGAACCCTGTCATCCTAACTGCCTCGATTGCATGGGGCGGCACAGTCACGAGTGCCTGAGCTGCAGAGATCACCTTTACAGAGACGTCAAAGAATGTGTGGACACATGCCGCTCTGGGTAACTACAATACTGAATACCTATGTTGGTTTATAAACAGTAGTGAAAAAAAATGACTGATAGATTACCAGAAGTTGGTGAATTTTTCATGTAGTTTCTTGTTGTGTTTTATAAGCCTGGTTTCACAGACGGGGCTTAGATTAAGCCAGAATTCACCTTTGGCTAAGCCACGCCCTAGAATGTAGATTGACCAATCACAGCGCAGCCAAAAACGAGCTCCCACAGAGGTCGGACACTTTTTCACAGCAGGCTATAGAGTGCCGAAGTTACGACGTCACTCTGTAGGCCAAAACGCGGAAGTGAGTTAGCATTTTAGCATTACGGTTCCCTCGCTCTAAAGCCTATGGGATTTTTGAATGGGTTTTTGCTAAATCGCCTGAAATAAAGTCTGTGGTGAACAGAGCCTCTAAATATTTTCACGTCTTGGTCTATGACACAGAACACACAGTTATAACCTGCTTGTGGTTTTTTAAACTTTATTGTGTCTGATTGTGTTTTTTAAAATCTTTATATAGGCTTCAAAATGTTTACATTTTGGATTAACTTGTAAAGATTATCTTGCTAGACAAAACGTGTAAGGGTGACAACCCTTTGTTAAACACAGACCTTATTTTTTGCGATTTTCCAAAAGTCTATGGGGAAAATGCATTGCTTTTCGACCGAGGGAACCCATGCGCCGCTAGCTTCCGGGTTGTCCTACAAAGTGACTTCATCACTTCGGCACTCTATTACCATCGTAGTTTTATCCAAAATATGGTTAAACGTTGTGCCTCGGGCATTTGTAACACAGATACGCGTTTCCCAGAGAGGTTGGAGGGGGGTGTCCGTTTTTTGCCTTCCCAAAACCGAAGTAAAATCCTGACAAGTGTCGTCTTTGGAAACTGTGTGGATGTCCTCTGTCAGCTAAACCCCGCAAAGATCAACAAGCACATCTTTTTTTACTTCTAATCTTACTGTGAGTGTGAAGTCATACTAGTTAGACCGTTTTATAATATTTTAGGTTATGATTTCGGTTCTCATACCGGTTGTTGACACGCTAGCACACGCTGCTAATAAATACAACGTTATAACGTTACTCGTGTAGTCCATTTGCTTTGTAATAATGATTATAGAAGTGAATATAGACCTACCCAGTAGGAAATGCGGTGGTTCATTTTTTGACTGTGACCGGTAACGTTATGCTTTTGCCTCTATTTTGGATGCCTTGTTGTTTCTTGCGTTTCACCTGTATGTCTTGAATATAGCCTTCGAGTTCGAACGCATATTGCAGCCCCTTTTGCCTACTTCTATCGGACACTTTATTTGCTGCTTTTAGTGCTTTATAAAAGTTTGATAACATTTCAGCAGGAAGAGCTGTTACAGCATAAGCCATGCAGAGCGCAGATGAAGTTTGACGGATGTAGCAACAGTAACTAAGGGGGGCGGGGCTTAGCCAAAGGTGAATTAGGCCTTAGTTTATTAGTACAACTAAGTTGTCTTTATAAACATGCCTTTAAAAAAAAAACTCACCGGTGTGCACCTTTTGATAAAACAATGGCACTGACAGTCCATTTCATTAAAATTTTCTGTGTTCTAATATTTATGACTGAATTCTTCCAGTTACTATGCCTCAGCTGGCTCTAGGACATGTGAGCGGTGTGATGAGAGCTGTGGAGAGTGTCTTCAGGCTGGAGCCGAGGGGTGTATGAGCTGCAAAGAGGGGATGCTGTTTATCAGAAAACAGGGACGCTGTGTGTACTCCTGTCCTGATGAATACTACCACGACACTCACCACAAAACATGCGAGGCATGCCACCCCACCTGCAGAACATGCACAGGTATGGAACAGCTTACAGATATGACAAACTAGTCAATTCCACAGGCCCTTTGAAAAATAAATGCACTTAATTGTACTGAAAGTATAGACCTACCTTTGTGAAGTATTTTTTTTCTTTTTTACTAATCAAATAAGTACTTAAGTGAGTACACTTTCATGACCTTCTTAAAGGGTTAGTTCACCCAAAAATGAAATTAAGTCATTAATTACTCACCCCCATGCTGTACCAACCCCGTAAGACCTTCGTTCGTCTTCGGAACACAAATGAAGATATTTTTGATTAAATTTGAGAGCTGTATAACTACCACATTGGCTCCTAAGGGACTGCCTCTTGACGGCCCAGAAAGTACCGTGGCTCAACTATATGTTTATCAAGCGACGCGAATACTTTTTGTGCGAAAAAACAAACAAAAATAACGAGTTTATTCGACTATTTCTTTTCTTCCTTGTAGGCCAGAACGAGACTTCCTTAGATTTCCACGACGCATGCGCGAGATTTGCGATCTGCTCACACCAGCTTACACTACTTCAGATCGCAATTCCTGCGCATGCGTCATGGAAATCTAAGGAAGTCTCGTTCTGGCCTACAAGGAAGAAAAGAAATAGTCGAATAAACTCGTTATTTTTGTTTGTTTTTTCGCACAAAAAGTATTCGCGTCGCTTGATAAACATATAGTTGAGCCACGGTAGTCACTTGGGATATTTAAACATTTTCTTCATTGACTTTCTGGGCCGTCAAGAGGCAGTCCCTTAGGAGCCAATGTGGTAGTTATACAGCTCTCAAATTTAATCAAAAATATCTTCGTTTGTGTTCCGAAGACGAACGAAGGTCTTACGGGGTTGGTACAGCATGGGGGTGAGTAATTAATGACTTAATTTTCATTTTTGGGTGAACTAACCCTTTAACAGGTCTTATTAAATAATGTATATTAGATAATATTAGATATATCAGATAATGTCTTATTAAAAGTTTTCACTCAAAAAGTAATTTTTAAATCATAGTTTAAAACTTTTTTCCCATTCTTTAAAACTGCAGTCCGGCGTTTTTCCTCTTTGTCGCCATCTCTGTTTGAAATCTGCAATTGCAGTAATTCGCGGAATTATCAACTTTACGCAAGTTGTACTTCAACACCTTCGACATGGCACAGCGTGGATGAACACAATATTTCAGGAGATTGTGAGGCTGTCAGTCACAGCGCGCCGATGTGGATACTGGCATTCCGAATCACAGAATATTCTTTTTGGAAGTATGACCTACATAACAATTTTCACTGGAAAATGTCATCTGAACTAGTAAGAAACATCCACTTTTGTTCTGGTTCTGAAATTGCAGTAAATCGCACTGATTAATTCTTATAATCGCTTATAAGTTATCATATCACGCAAAAGCATGCAAATTATATTTGTTCTCAAATTGTTAATGTTAACAATGTTAGGATTGCGTGACTACATGTAATGTCCTTCCGATATGTATCCTTGTTTTCGCATGGGTGCTGTTGCAGTCTCTTTTTTTCTGCAGCCACTCCAAAGTCCGAACGAAGTCTTATGCATTTTACAGCAGGTGAATCTGTTGTCACTGGTGATTGTCGTTTGAACCTTTCTGGATCCGCCATCAAATTGATAAATTTAATTAAATCAAGTGCTGTGAGAAAAGGCCATAATCTCCACCTCCAACATCCTCACACGCAATATAGCTACTAGCCGAGACTCCTCCTTTATGTGTACAGATGTGACGTAATGATGTAATAACATGCTCGAATCTCCCGCGGAAATCCACCAGTACCACTGGAATTAAAAAAATTATGACAAACTTACCGCTTTGAATCGAGCTAAGGCAAGCAGATTGTATTGTATTACCTTAAATATGTACTTCATTTCAACTTAAAAAAAAGCTACGGACTGCAGCTGTAAAGAAGTACACATATTTTGGTGTGCTGGCTAACATACTCCGGCACTTTTAATTTTAACTGTAGTGTGTTATTCAACATTACATATCTTAAATGTATCATAAATATATCCTAAATGCACTAAATTGCAACTTCATTATTACAAAATGTTCAAATATATTTTAATGCATGACAAACAATATTAAAAACAGTGTTGGGTAAGTTACGCTAAAAAAGTAATTAATTACTAGTTACTAATTACCTCTTCAACAGTGTAATTAGATTACTGTACTAATTACTCTCTATAAAAAGTATTTAATTACTTTTAATTACTTTAAAAATCCCATATCAATCTCAACCAGCTGGATAATACAAGGATAGACATGAATCTGTTTTAATTCTTTCAAATAAATATAATAAAATTGCATGAATTATCCTTAAACTGGAGAAGGTTACATTATATAAACATACTTTTTAGCATCAGACAATACATTTTGATGTTAAACCCACTATTGTTTTATGTCTGATCTCATGACATTTCACACTTTTTTCATACATATTTTACAATAATTCATACGAATTTGTACGAGTGCGGTCGTACAATTTAGACACCTCATAAAATGCATACGAATCGCTGTGAGATCGGATTGATCTATACACAGTATTTACCTCAATTACATCAGAAGTAACTGTAATTAAATTACAGATAAATGAAGAGTAATCCCTTACTTTACATTTTCAAGAGAAAAGTAATTTTATTACAGTAACTAATTACTTAGTAATTAGTTACACCCAACACTGATTAAAAACAACATAAAATTTTAGTTTAGCATAAATGCTTGTCAGTACATTCAGCTGTACACTTTAGCCAAATTAAATTAACATAATTATGTAATTGCATTTATATATGTTCTTAAGTCCTACTTATGTCAAAAATCACTCTAAACTCTTAAATTTCAACTAATTGCCTTTAATATAAATTTAAACTAAAACAGTTTCATTTAATTGCGATTATCATGCCTCCTGTATTACGCCAGTTTGTGAGCACAGCACCAAATGCTCTCAGATCTACAAAGGACTGCAGCAAGAGGTGACTGCATTGTCCCGTTGAGGAAGAGTGCACTTGGTCAAACAGCTTTTTCAGTAAGGGCTACTCGTGAATGGAACCTCATTCCAACTCACATTAGGAATTTTAAAACGTATGTTTCTTTTTAAACATAACTTAAAGAAATGGTTAATGTAAGGACTGTTTACATTACACTTGACATTAAATCTTGCTGCTGCCCTGTCTTCCTTGTCCTGCCTTTATGTTTGTTTGTTTGTTTGCTTGCTTGTTTGTGCCTCTTGTGCTATGCCAATACGGTTGGCTGGATTATTGTGTTCTCTTGTGTTTAGATAGGTGAAACCTTTGTTTTGGTTATTGTTCCAGCTATATATATATATATATAGACCATTTTGCAAGATGTAAAAAACACTGGTCCAGAAACACTTCCTGTTTCAGTTTGTAACTGTTTTCTTTATTGCACATTTAAAGAAAACATCTTAAAGATGTTTGTTTAACTTTTTGATTCAGTTTTATATGTTCTTTTGGTTGTATTTTATCCCAGCTTTTATGTAGTGTTAAAAAACTGAAACAGGAAGTGCTTCTGGACCAGTGTTGTTTACATCTTGCAAAATGGTCTATATATATATATATATATATATATATATAATTTAGGTGTGAAATATCAAGATCTGTCCAGGGACAGCAGATGTAAAATAGCCTATTGGCTAATTCTGGCACACTGTACATTTAATTATGTATCATTAGCGTGCATTGTCCCTGTTAAATAAACCTGGAATAAAAATAAATAAATGCATTTTTTATCAGTAACAGACTTAATGCAAACTGAATATTATTTTCATAATAAAATTATGCCTCACACCAAACTCACAGACTGAAAGCAAAAAGAGCAATGTTTTGAAATCAACACAGATCCACAATGTTTCTTTCTTCAACTTGTGAGTGGCATATGCGCATGGATATGAGAAAGTTTTAACAAACAAAAAAAAAAATACATTTCACATGAAATTCTATATTTAACCGTGAATAATTCCATAATTTGAACCTATCCTTTCGATTGACAGGCAAAAGTGTTGAGGATTGTGAGTCATGTCACCCAGGTTATGCACTCACACAGGGTGCTTGCGAGTCGCCCTGCATCACAGGACAATACGCTAAGTCTGAGGTAAACTTCTGTTCCTGTGCAGTCTGACACGCATTCTACTTTATTATGTTTATGAATGTGATCACCTGACTTGTGATCTCTCTGCAGGAGCAGGGCTATAACTGTGAATCATGTGATGAATCCTGTTTGGAATGTAAAGGTCCTGGGCATTATAACTGCACCATCTGTCCGGCACAGTTGATCCTGACAGCAGAGGGGCGCTGTCTGCCCTGCTGCACCAACACAGAACAGGAAGACACAGCCCCAGTTCAGCAAGAGTGCTGTAACTGTACTGAAACTAGAGGTAGCCTATTTGGACTTGTGTCCATTTCACAAGTGCCATTTCAAAATATTACTTGTACTAACAGGTTGATCAGTGACATAAAACAACAACAACAAAGGCTTGTAGGAAATATGTGCCTCAACCTAATTTTTGCAAAACTCCAAAATCCTTATTCATATCACTGCAGTTTTCAGCTAAAATGCTAGTGGCAGTAAAAGACCAACAACTTTTATTCCTTTTCATACAAATTATGATTACAGGGGCATATTATTGACTAATAAAGATTATAAATGGTTTTATTCATTTTCATACAAATTATGATTACAGGGGCAAATTATTGACTAATAAAGATTATAAATGATAAAAATTATAAATGATTATACATTTTCATTTTCAGTTCCTTGCACAATTACCTAAAATCATTTTTACCATAGTGCATCATTTATAAACGAATACATTTTGATATTTGCATAACTTGATCAGCTCCATATGCATGGCTTAACTGAAATAGTAAACTAGCTCACCCGGCACACCGCTATACATAAATATGAGTTGTGTAAAATACAATAAAAATACAAAAAAGTCTCAACAAAAGAAATCAAAGTCTTGTTGAAGCAAGCTAAAATGGTTATAGGTATGCGCGTGACATCACTGTCGGCCGGAGTGCCTGGAAAAAACACTGAGCGGCTGTATTTGTTTTCAGCCTGAATTCCGCGAAAAACAAACACAACACATATAAAGTGGGAAAGAGCTTTGCGATTGACTGTACAACTAGATTTGACAAAAAAATCGGAGGTATATTTTTACAAACTGCTATAGAAAAAGGAGCAAATGGATCGCTGCAATTCACAGAAACAACTGGACTCCAGTCAGCGAAAGGTGGATTTGCAGTTATCATTTCGTGTCAATATGCTGAATTTAGCTGTAAAACCATACCCATATATTTCGTATTGTTATAACTCATCAATTAAATATTTGTCATTGCATATTCTGCATTATTGAAAGATTTTTAATAAACACTGACCAAAAAAAAAAACTATAAAGTTTTAGGGCTGGACGATATGATGATATATATAGGCTATAACATTGATATAAGTGATCACCCGGATTTAGACCTACCTATATTGTATTTATATAAAGCGTTCACAGGCAAATTTGCTTTATGTTTAGGTCTATATTGCTTTTATTTCCCCGGTGTCGAAATCAGGCAAACTTAAATGTCAGGCAACACGATTCCTGGCTGCATGTCAGTATCCATGGATCACTGGATCTTTAGTAAGTTGTAAGGAACACTATATTGAGTCCAACATTTAGTTTCAATTGATAAAATTGTTCGTTTTAGTCACATTTTTGCAGTTTTCCCAATTAAATCCAGTCACGCAGCAGATCTTTTGCCACTCAGTCAGGCTGAAGGGGGTTGTTCCGGCGGGAAAGTGACGTCAATGCATTCCCTATAGTTGCTTCAGCTAACATGAAGAGTTCAGATGCAAAAGCCTCTAAGTGCCATTTGAAATTTTCTTCTAGAATGATAATTTTTATCAAGCTTGCATATTTAAGTTCAGTGATTTCACTTAAATGACAATGATAATTACCTATTAATTGTTATTTAAGTGAAATTACTGAACTTAAATATACAAGTTTGATAAAAAAAAATCATCATTAAAGAAGAAAATTTAAAATGGCATTTAGAGGCTTTTGCATCTGAACTCCTCACATGTTTTTTTTTCCTCACGTTTGCTTTTGTTAAAATGATCGGTTAGGTTAGGTTAAGAGTAGGGTTTAGTGTAGGTGGTACATTATTTTTTAATGTGATTGAGCATTAACTCTTTAACGCCATTCACTGGACATTACATTTCCACTTCCACGATACGTAACAATCAATGTAATAAAACCCTGCCAGATATTGATCGCTTTGAAAGTGCCGCAAAACATGCAAGAAGTAACATAATGTTTTGTAGAAATGTCATTAGTTATGTTTTTCCAATGAACCTGGGATGGAATTTTCATTCCATCCCAAAATGGAGGGTGAAATCTTTCTTTAATACTAAAATAGTAACTTAAATATAGTTTGTATCTCTTGGTTTATTTGTTGTGTCAGACGTTAAAACCAATCTTTTATCTCTGTTTAAGGTGAGTGTGTCCTTAGATTTCGAAACCATGAGGAAGAAGAGTACACAGGAAACCTGCCACTCTTTATCACCACCTCTATCCTGCTTGTTTTTGCCTCAATCTCCGTAATCATCCTCATTAAGCGTTCTCTTTCCAAACGACCCATGCCAAAGACCCCTATCCCACGTGGGTATGAAAAACTGGGCCATGGTGGCGGCAAAGACGGCTTCTACACATCATCATCAACCTCTGCCTACGGAGGTCAAGCAAGCTCTAGCTCTGGACTTTTCCGTGAGTCACAGCTAGTGGATCTTGGAGATCAGAAGGGGACTCGGGATGATGACGATGAAGATGATGAAGATGAAGATATTGTGTACATGGGGCAGGACGGCACTGTTTATCGCAAATTCAGATACGGGCAACTGGGAGATGAGCAGGAAGATGAGTTAGAATATGACGATGAGAGCTACAACTACCGATAACACCTTCATCTGTTTTAACAAAACTGAAAATTTACTGAAAATTGTCACTTAGCATGCAAAAGCAACGTTGTGTTTGAAAATTATATTAAAAAAATTCTGAAGAGTTCTGCAGAACTCAAATGTGAATAGTAATATATTGTTTAGGATGACATAATGGCAATCACAAATTGTAGTTTAAAGCCCCCCTTTAGTCAATACTTTTATCCCTTAAAACTCATATTTGATCACCAAAATTACAGATTTAAATTTTTTTTCCCTTTAAAGAATGGCTGATGCCATAAAATAGCTTGAATGTAACTTTACACCCTTGCCTCATTAAATATATGCGGTTCTATGAATATGCAAATTAGATCCGCCTCCACTCACTCACACCAGCTCAGAGATCCACTCGTTGACGATCATACGTGATTGGTAACAAGGTAGTTTGTGACATTAGAAACACTTTGGCATTGGTTCACTGCAGCGACTTGAATTCGAATTTGTCCATGCTTTGTCTTAGCCACATCAAAAACACCTAATAGACATAAACAACATTAAACACTTGGTTTTCGCCACAGGGGGACTTTAAGGTTTAATGCTGTAGTTGGTCCTTTCAGCTCCTTGTCTTTTTTGACCTTCATTTTTCATCTTATATGAAGACAGCTGAACGTTGTTCTTTTTTCTAGTACTTTTGCTAGTAGCAGGAGTACAAATTAGCTGTTTGTTTGTTTGTTTGTTTTTTCCCACTGATAACTTTGTCTTTTGGTCATTTTTTTGTAGTGAAAGTGTGTCAACTGTACATTTTAATAAAAGTATAACAATGTTATGTGTTAATTTCCTACATAAGTACAGCCAATCATTTTTGACTTGCTGCATTTCAATTATCCAAATTAGATTCTTCTACCTCGGTCACAAGATGTTTGATTGTCTCTCCGGTTACATTTGTGCCTTCATCAAAATAATGATCTTACTGAATCTTGATGAACTACTCAAAAAGTATTGAACCAAATTTTATTATGCTTTGGATGAATTAGTAATCAAGTAATATCAGAGGAAATATTTATGTTTTTATGTAATTGACAAATTGCACTATGAGAAAAGATAGAAAAACCAAAAAAGTTTTGGTAAGTTTCTGCCAGGTCATTCATTCCAGGATGAGAAAGAAAACAGGTAACACTTTATTTTACGACCCGCAAACAACTGTGTAAGTACACTGAAATTACGGTGTACGTTCTGTAATTATAGTGTACTTCCGTGTAAGTACAAGGGAACAATATTTTAAGTTTGGAGTAATAAAGGGGTAACAAACATATACAACCTGCAAATAACTTTGTAAGTACACTGAAATTACGGTGTACGTTTCTGAAATTATAGTGTACTTCCGTGTAAGTATAAGGAAACAATATGTTAAGTTTGGGGTAATAAAGGGGTAACAGGCAGATATACAAGCAAATTATTTAATTAGTTAAAAAATAACAGGTACCTATTCCGTTAATTTGTACGTCTGCTGTTTCAAATGTATCACATTTCTGGCAAAATATGAAGAGTTCAGATGCAAAAGCCTCTAAGTGCCGTTTGAAATTTTCTTCTAGATGATCATTTTTATCAAGCTTGTATATTTAAGTTCAGTTATTTCACTTATATGGCAATGAAGGTTACCTATTAATTGTCATTTAAGTGTCAGTTAATAACTTAAATATACGAGCTTGATAAAAAATGATCATTCTAGAAGAAAATTTCAAACGGCATTTAGAGGCTTTTGCATCTGAACTCTATATGTTCTTGTGCAATGTTACAGGGTAATTTTGACATCTGTGGGTTAAAAATTAAACACACACACACACACACACATATATATATATATATATATATATATATATATATATATATATATACACTATGATAAAAAATTACATTTATTGGCTTTTCTTACTAGATTACTTAATGTTAAGTCAAAATAATTTTATTTTTTTTGCTATGATTTTAATTTAGACCGTACCATGTGGTAATTAGTACTTATACCTTTGAATTTCAATGACACTTAAATGTCACAAATATACTGTTTAATTCAAACGATTTGTTGTTGTTGTTGTTGTTGATAACAGTACCTTTCTCTGCAATTACAGTGCAAATAGTGTTGTTTCATATTGCTACATAGTAATAGCGTTTGTTACCCCCTTATTCTGCATAGTTACAGGGTAAGTGTAACTCCTGCGGGCTGTAAATTAAAGTGGTGCTTGTTACCCCTTTATTACCAAAAACTTAACATATTGTTCCCTTATACTTGCACGGAAGTACACTATAATTACAGAAACGTACACCGTAATTTCAGTGTACTTACACAGTTGTTTGCGGGTCGTAAAATAAAGTGTTACCTTTTTTTTTCCAGACTTCCTGTCTGTCTAAGATCGGGAAATCATGTCTAAAACAACAAAAAGAATCAAAAAACCTTTGTTTGTATTTATAGAAAGCTAATAGGCAGCCTATGGCAGGCTGGTACAGGACAATTTCACACGTAACTATTTTTTAAAGCCACTAGATGGCGCTCTTCTAGTTGAACAACTTTTAATAGACTGGAACTGTATTTTGATGTGAAATGTTGCATATTTTGTATTTTTTAAATAATATTCTAATGGGAAAAAAAGCTCACAAAAATTATAGAACTAATGCAAAGTATCATAAAAAGCTCAAAAACTTCTTAATAGTAATAATCAGAAAATATTATAGAACAAAACTATATTTGGTTATCCTAGGGAAAAAAATAAAGTTAAATTTTAAGGCTTCGTCCATTTTTCACCGGGAGGAAGTGTTACCCATTTACAAAGAAGCCCAGAGGAGTATTTATGTCCGGATAGTTTTATTTGTTTTGACGACATTTTCGCTTGTACGACGAGTGCAGGTCTGCGTACAATGATGATTCGAATTTTAGTTGCTATAACGACGCGTGTTGGTTTATGAATTTGTTTGTTTACACTCAAACATCGCAATCTTTTGCTCGAGAAACGAGGCGAATTCAGAGAGTTTTGCCGAGTATTTTCTGTGCAGATTTCGAAGCTATTTGGAGAATTCCTGAGAAAAAACTGATCATCTAGGAGGAGTAGATCGGAGGATCCTTTCCCTTTTTCCCACTCTTTTTTTTTTTTTAAACATTTAACAGTTATCTTATTTCTGAGGAGGCTTCTATCTAATTGTTATTATCTGGGAGTTAAACTAGGAGTTTGTTGTTTTATGTAATTTTTTATTTAATTTATTTGTTTTTTTTTTTTTTTTTTTTTATTTATTATTTTTATTTATTTATTTGATTTATTTTGGTAGTATTTCTGAGGAGGGTTGTACTGTGTTATTTTTTTTGTATTGTATTTTGTAATTAACTTCTTGTTTCTATTGCAGGTTGGAGGACGTTGATGGCTCAGAAGAGTGAAAGACGAGGTGAGTGCTCTACTTTTCATTTGTTTATGTTATGGTAGGCCTATGATGATGATGGACTAAATTAATGTGCAGAAACTTGTGCGAGATAACTTATTTGATCCGCCAAATTTCTCAGCTAAGTGATCACGTGTATTTGATTCCTTATTGCATGTAAAATAAACCTTTCAATTTTGAGCAACTATATAGGAGCAATTTATAACTGACTGCTGACATTGAACATTGATTATTATCAAAACATTACTAACTATGTGATGTCTGAAATATTCTAGGCTCAGCCCTCTCCAGATCCGGGAGAGCTGCTTCCACTCAGACGGCTGGTCTGGAGGTTTGGAGACTCAGTTCTGACGGTTCAGCTCCTCTGTCTTCTGAGTTTTCTGGTTCTGTGTTCACAGGTCAGGATCACCGGAAGAGGCAGAGCGGCAGCCAGCAGAACCCAGATGGTGGATGTGCGTCCACTTCTATTATAACAATATACTTATAACAAGTGACCTCTGACATTGATTATTTATATTATTTAATAAAAAACAACAACTGTTTTTGATATTTGAAATATTCCAGTGTCAGGCCGCTCCAGATCCAGTCAGAGAGTCGGAGAGTTGAGTCTTAGCAGCAGGGGGTCATGCATCGTTGAGTGGAGGTGGAGTGGCTTGGGATCGGACGGCCCAAGCGAACAGAACAGTTGTGGCCTCTGGAGTTTGTCCGCGTCCAACAGCCTCCGAGAGATGATGTGTCCTCCGCTGCCAGGTCAGGTTCTTGTGGAGCCAGCAGTGACCGCTAATGGTCTGATAGCTCAGGGTGCCGTGGAGGCGTCTCCTGCCAACAAGAGCTCAACCGGTGAGATTGAAATAGGAGTGAGGGGTGTAAAGTGTACTGATTTTCCTATTTTATGCATAAGACTGCTTCAAGTATTTAACAGGTTAATCTCTAGTCATATTTACCGTTGCTCAGCATAATTTAGCTAACGTTAAAATGTTCTTTTTGTTTCCATAATGTTTGCTAAATTATTAAACAGAATGTTTCCGTAACATTTGCAATTGCAAGAATTCTTTTTAATACTCAATAGTAAATATTGTGAAATAAGAGTTTGGGACATTTATGCAGGCATTAAGCAGAAGCAGGGCCGTCGTATAATATTTGCATTACTTGGATTTGTAATATTACAGATAAGAATCGAACAGTAACGTGTAATTTTGTCATTGTTTAATTTGAGGTCAGAGATGTTGTCTTTTCAATATTTTTTTTCTACATTTCAGAATATAGGGAGAAGAAAGGACTTTGTGGTTTCCTCAGGAGGGTGTGGAAGGCTATGAAACGGCATTTCGGCTGCCGTTGTCACTGCAGTGCTGTGAATGTTGTGGAGCCTTTCATCCCTCCACCAGATCTGGACCCAGAGCCTGACCCAGATCACTCAGCCGTCAAGCACAATCATGGTAAATCTACAGTCATTATTTCTTGATCATTATTTTAAACAGTATTGTTGTCTTGTATTCCACTAAAAATATATTAAGGCTTGTTTTCTGAGAATAATATTATTCTCCCCATATTAATGTCATAAAAGGTAACTACAGGGGTTAAGATTAGGTTTAGGTGAAGGTGCGTATCAAGTACCCAGTTATTGTAATAACTTTAATAAGTACATGAGGAACAGGACTGTGAAATAAAGTGCTACCGGTAACACTTTATTTTAAGGTGACGTAGTTACAAATTAGTACGTCATCTACTTACTAAAGTACAGTAAATTATGCATACTTAACTAATCCTAACCTTAACTCTATTGTAAGTACATGTAGTCAATTCATATTACTTGTCTGAGTCAGTAACCTTTTATTGTTATTTTCAAAGGATCTAGCGAGCTTATTTATTTC